TCACTCTGGGCTATGCACGCGGAGACGGGGCCCTACTAGTGGTGGTTTGCAGCTGTCAGGGCTTTGCTCCTCAACTTTGCACTTGCGGATTGGTCTGAGTAGAATCAATTCCTTGTACAGTATCAACATCTCCTGCGTGCAACATCAATTTGCAGGCCATCGAGATGCATAGACGTGAAGGAAGAGGAGCAATGGCTAAAGTTCTATGCTGGCAACAACAATGCATTGTCCGTGTTACTTTCTAGCTTCAGATGAACGGAAACTACCTCGGAACTTACGGAGTACATTGCAATGATAACCAACATCTTCCTATCGTCACGCCCGAGGTTTGGCTTTTTTGAGGCAATTGTAGGACCCAGGAATGGAGGGTTCGAAGAAATTTTGCTGCTCAATCTTTCCACCTTCTGGCATGAAAAAAAAGTTCTGCATTTTCCCCCTCCACCAGCGCTCTATGGTGGAGTCCTTTACAAATCCGTGACCCAAAAGCACATCTTTTCGTACACCCCACAGGATAAGTTCTGTATGCGCCGTACTGTTGTGGTCGGTCTGGATGTATACCCAACAAGTACTTTGCAGGCTCATATCGTCAAAAGAAATATACGCTCTCGCTACTACAGGACAGGAGATAAAACTCCTACAAGTGAGGCAACATATGAGCAACAAAACAAGATACGTCCAAATAAGCTTTCAATCATCCACTCACCGTCTAGGAGGATGACATTCTCTCATTACTGCAAATCTTTTCCGCTTTTCCCTTTACACTTCGTATCAAAGGGACCGCCTGGGCTGCGTCGACCCCTCTTGCTCGATCAAAAGAGGCAAAGAGCACGCGACCACTCCGCCTTTGCACGTCTGCTTCGAAGTACCTCCCCGTCCCGTCAAGGCCGTCAAGGGGCGCAACATCTCCCGATCATGTACCCTGGCTGGACCCTATGTACTTGGTGCTTCCGCTGCTATCAATCCCACTTGTGAGAGTTGCCGTCACCCGCAGAAAACGAGAGGATGAAGCGGGGCATGTAGCAACAATCTTTTCAACCCAATCACTTGTCTCCGATTGCTTGCAGATTAGAACTGACAAGCCCACGGCAGCAGTCTCAGCTGCATCGTTAACTGTGGCTGGGCTGCCTGCGATGTAACCCAGGTTAGAGACACAATCACGTCTCTGCAGATAACGTTTGTTGCAACACCGTTCGCCGATACCGTTGCTGCTGTGTAATCTGGGAAGAACATCATAGGTGTTTCCAAAATGGATGTATTGCTAATACATTGTCTACACGCCAATCTATAACTTCTCTCCATTAATAATAGGCAATCGAAATCGAAAGGCTAACCAGGCACAGCGTGAGAATCTCTGGCTCGAAAAGGCTACTACTGTCAGTGTTTAACAGTAGTGTATACGCCCATACATAGGTCTTGTCCGTAGCAGTCTCACGAATCAACTTGACTACGAATAGGCCTGATGCTTCTTGTATCGGATGGGTGTATATCATCATGCCGAGAATACGATCTCCTCATTCGATCGGGAAAGGTCGTGCTCGCAAGTGCAACATTGAAGTAATCGTTGTTCCTGCATGGTAGTGCTCGCGAATCACTATGTAATTTACACATAGCCTCTTGGTTCATCACCTTTCCAAAAGTTAAGTAGTGTTGATACATCCATCTCTTCTGCGGAAAAGGATACCTTGCTACTGGCCTAGGCAAATGGTAACAAAGGTAACAGGAAGTTTGGTTTAGTAGCCCATCAGACTGCCTTTTGACCAAGTAAGTATGTCTACTTGTTTGTGGGAATACACTTGACGGTTCGAACGATGAGATCAATTCCTCTTTTCCATCACATCTTACATCGTCTCGACCAGTATACAACTAAAGCACATGGGCATATAATGCATTTTCACAAATAGTGTGCTAGTTGTCCTGTATTTTCCCGTTTCTGTTTATTATTTTCTTTCTGGCCAATCTAGGAGGCCCAAATGGTAATAGCCAACCGGTACGTAGCTCTATTCTGATCTCGAGGGCGAGTGGATTCGTTTCCCCTTGTCAATATCGTATCGCGCCGAAAGCTGTGAATTCAGATCCACCTCAGCATACTTAAGGTCTACGAACTCGATACTAAAAACATTCGCGTCAAAACACATTCATCTCACAAAGATTGATTTATCAGTCGAGGCACCTATCTTTCTCAGCTCGTTGCAAAGCGGAGTCAAATGGTGATGGTATTTGACTCAACCCTCGGAAAACTATCCAAACTGCCATTTTGATTATCAGTTTGGACAACTTGTTAGCTGGTTGGTAATGTAATCTTAATATTTAGAAACTCTACTGCCCGTAAGCTGTATGACGGCACAACGGGTCTTATTGAAAATCGGGCTTCGGAAATTGTGAAACAGCAGGACCTATTAGTATTTACTCTCATTCTATTTGATTATTCTCTAAAGCTCAACTCCCTACAAGCATCAGTAATCTTCAGTTATGTTATGCATATACTGTCTATAGCTAGACTGTCAATTTAATTTAATTGGGCTTGGGTGCAGAAATATTTGACCTCATATTTTCGCCGTGGGTATAGAAAGGTACCACAATCTTTTGAGTACGATATCTTGATGTTGGTCTAAATGGTTAGGGTTGCGAAATTGATTGGAAGTGGTCATGAGATTATAGCCCCCAGGATACTTTTGGAATGATCATCAATTTGACTATGTAGCTTGAGAGCCTGGGTCGATACCAGTTGCTATTAAGGGCCGATAAAAGTGGATATGAGCTATGGGAATAGAATTATTTGATTTCAAAAAGAATCGACTTCCCAATATACACTGACAATTGAATATGGTATGAATCAGACACGCTTTAAGCTTGAGCTTGAGCTCCTTGCGAAGTTGTTCCTCGGAACTTCAGTTTGTGATTGCGGTCCATGGGGTAGCTTTGCTAGGGAAAGAGAACAACACTTGGCCCTCTGTCAAAAGATCGGCATTGTTATATAGCTTTCTCTTTGACCTCGCAAACTAAGTGATGAATATGTATAGCATTATTTTAGGTAAACGAAACACGCAACTAAATATCCACTTCTAAAGACCAGAAAAGGGTAGATGAAACAAATCTGTCAAGATATCACACACTCAAAATGAAGGAAACAAGACAAGTATTAGCTCTGAGCCTTTGCTAATTGTGGTATCCTAATATTACTAAATAGTATGTCGCTACAATCTTTCCTCCACCCGAACGCTGGAACTGTCCTCCCAAGCAACGTTTAGGTACTCAAGTTTCTAACACATTACAAAAATATCAAGAACCGCTAGATCGCTCAAAGACAAGCAAAAGCGCTAAACCGCATCCGAAATCCAAATCCAAAGCATGTATACACGACAATGTATGTACTTTCCCGAAACACGCTCACTCAACCCATCTCAGACAGTGGAATTATAGCTCACAAAACAGCAGCAACCAAGCCCAAAAGCCCCGCTCCTAATCCAACGGCTACACGATCTGCGCCGCTTCCCGTAGCACTCGCCTGAGCCGTTCTTACCGCAGCTTCGCTGGCCGTAGTGCCTGCAGCACCACCCGTGGTCGTAGGTGACGCGCCATTTACCCCCTGCGTAGCCGAGGACACTGGATCCGACGACACAGCTCTCGAAACCGCGCTCGAAGTGCTTGAGGGACTGATAGCGGCTTGGTTACAGTATGTAGTTTTGTTGCTCAGGGCGCCGACTTGACCTGGGTCGTTTGGGCATTGTAGGTAGCAACTTAGGGGTGTTAGTTCATTGTTCTCATATCTGGATTTTGGAAGAGGGGTTAAGTATGGTAAGGGACTACTTACGTTAGTATTTCATCCCATTTCTGGCAGAGACAGCCCCAATCTTGCGATGAGCAGGATGCTAGGTAACCGTTCCCGGTTACGAGGCATGCGTCGAAAACACCTTTGGCAGCGCATGCGGTGGATGAGGGAAGCGCGCCGGCGGAGAGGGTTGTTTGGGCGGTGGTGAGGGTGAGGAGGAAGGTGAGGGGGAGGAGTGTTGAGGTATGCATATTGATTGATTGTCTGTACTTAATTCGCGTACTGAGATACAATTCTCTGATGTTGTAGAGAATAAGTGATTTAGAGAGAAGTATGTTTATCAATGTAAACAAAGCAGATCAGTACCACGAGATTCGATTCGCAAACCCGTCTACAGTCCCAGGGAGTTCATGCCTTTTAAAGACATCCCTCCATCTCCGTAGCAATCAATGTACGAGTAACCAAAAGACTGTGTACCTTTCGTACCGCGGCATACCCATCTTCGGTTACTTTAATAACAAGACCCTCAGGGGTTCGAGGTGAATGTGCCCCACCTTTCATAACAGATGACTTGTCTCATTCGCGGAGAGCGGTTGCCATAGCGTCTAGACGCGACTAGATAATATCCCTGTCTCGCGTGGGACCTTGAACGACTCGATGGATTCAGGAGGAAAGCCGGCTGGTGCATTGAGTTTATATGAATGCGTGAAGACAGCCAGTGCGTTTGACACAGTCTTTTGCTTTATCTGAGTATATATTCACCTCTCCTGGTTTCACTGGCTTCAAGAAGGAAGTATGAAGTAGGAAAAGTAAAACTCCATCAGAGACAAAAGAACCCAAGCGAAATACCGCTGACACAGAGGCCCTTGAAAATGATTGCTCATCCTCGACAGTCCGCTAGTGTAACAGAAGAAATAAGCCGGTTTGGGTTACTATGTACCACGTTTATTACAGTGCAGGGCACTAAGCTTCTCTTTGGATACGAACGACCATTACGAGTAATACGATTAACAGTAGGGAGCCTTCAACCGCCAGTAGCTCAAATTGTCTGCACAAGCATTTCAAATCTCGTATTCTGACCTGAGAGCACCCATCTCTCCGCTCGTGAAAACTCCAGCAGAATGTTTTGATGCCACCTATCTTGACATTTGTGATTGTTGAACACATCTTCCTACTGTCAGTCTCACTTCCATGCATGATTGTCCCCTTATCCAATGAATTACCAAAATTATGTCTCATTGGGCAAGATGCTAAAGATAAGTACATAGAAGGCTTTTCCGTCGTGCACCAATCACGACGACCGGTCTGACGATCGAGGTATGCCGAATTCCAATACTAAAACGTCGAGTTGTCCACGAAGACCGCCTCCTGGTAGCCCTCACCCATTCTGTGTGTAATGAAAATAGAAAACACCTTTATAAAAATGAAATTACAATCCAGCCCAGAAGTAACACATCACTCTTGACCAAAACCCATCGTTTCCTCTACGGCCATCGTCAATTTTGTTTGCAGCTGCTCGAGGGATTTGTATGCTGGAAGATCAAGACGATTGAAACTAGAACAATGTTAGCAAATATTCATGACATCGAGGAGAATAAAGCGTACCATGTATGGGACTTGGGCAAGTTTCCCACTTCTCCCTGCTTCTCAATCGTAAAGCGTCTAGGACCATCACTACCTTGAAGATCCTTGAACCCATTGACTGGAATACGAGAAGTTCCAGTTGCGAATTGCAGAAGACGGGATTTTTGTTCCCCATCCCAGCTTCTGATTGTTTGCCAGAAGAATTTGATAACCTCATCGGACTCAGTATATCCTCTGTAATCGGTATGCTTCTTCCAATCCTCAACATCAATCTCAGCGATACCACCAATCAACAACTCCAGCTCCCGCTCATCGAATACATTAACAAGCTCAGCTGGAATGAGCTCGTGGAACCCAGTGATGAAGGCCTGGAACTGCTCATCAATGCGCTTTTGGATTCTCCACTTGACCATAAGATCTACGTATTCTTTCTTGTTGGCGTCAGTTACGTCAATATCTCTTCCGCCAGGTTTCAAATCCTCAACATTCGTAACTCCAAATCGTTCATCCTCGGTAGAAAATGTTTGTTCCAAAACTCCTTCAATAGGGTTATCCAACATCCACTGAAGACTGCGGTGAAAATCTGCGTCTACACCTTCCATATCTGAGAGAGACACGGCTTTGTTGAGCATCATCTTGTACAGCGCGCCGATAAAGAATGCATCCAAGAAACGTCGATGGAAGATAGCGAGACCAACAACACGGCCGATGAATTTGAAATAGTTCAGATGTTCCGGGTTAATTCCAGAATGAGGGTTGATTTGTAAGGTGTAATTGTCGTGCGCAGAATATTCGAACAAGCAATAAAAGGGATTAAACATTTCATGGGACAAGAGGAAAAAGAACTCTCTCGAAAGACCACCATAGTCGAGACCGTCTTCGCCATCGAATTTGATCATGAGACGTTTCTTCAAATCCGTGGCAGATTGTCGCATAATCTCAGCATATGAGTCCTCGAAAATATGAGATCTGCGAACCTTAACATGACATTGACCAGATAGGATGCGGAGAGCTGGTTGCGATCGGAAATAAATGAGCTTCCTTCGGAAATCGCGCTTGTATTGGGGAACGTTTTGATCTAGGGAAGAAGGAAGTCTCGGATCATCCCAGGTTGTCGTTTTGGTGTTATGGTCGACAAAATACACTCTTGCAGTGTTGGTGAGCCGCATTTCCCACCCGCTAGGCAATGGTCCAAGCTGGGACACTGGCTGTTGCTGGATAGTGTTGTTGGCGTTTTGACCCCCGTACATACGAATATATTGTTGACGTCTCGGGTCGACCCAGGTCGTGGTTCTAGTATTGTGATCTACAAAGTAGGGGCGGCCTTCCGGAGTATGTCGCTGCTCCCAGAGTGGTGGTAACTCCCCAGTGCCAGCTGTGGTTGCTCCCGTAGCCATCATAGTGGCGGAATTAGCCGCGCTCCCGCTCGCACCGGCTGGTGGGGAAGGTGCCTGTTGCTGCTGTGGTGGTGGAAGATTTGGAGAGTTAGCACCCGTTCTATCTTCCGGCAAGGTTCTGTTCTGATGTCTTTGGCGTTCCACTTGGGTATTCGCATCACGCTCATTCCTTTGGGTTTCTGCAGTTCCTCCAGCGGTTGGTCTGGTCCAGCTTGTGGACCTGGTGTTGTGGTCCACATAATACGTCCTACCTAGATTGTCTTCCCTTCTTTCCCAGCCAGCCGGCAACCTCCCCTGAGCATCCTCAAATGAGCTAAATGTACCATTGGTTCGAGGTGGAGGATTTCCGTTAGGTGCGTTCAGGCCGCCGCCGGCACTGCCAGCAGCTGGAGCATGTCCTGGTGTGGGTTGCGTGGACATGTTTCCATTAGCCATAACCACCCCAGCGGCTCCTGGAGGCTGCGGTGTATGTGATGGTGGGGGGTTTGATGAAAACCCAGAGGCTGTCGATCCGTGGGGGGTGCTCATAGACGGCCTCGAGGCATTTGAATTGGCTCCGGGTCCTAAGTTTCCTCGAGGCGGCGCTTCTAAGTTCGTGGAAAGGTTAATGATTAATTTCCCATGGACCACCAAATTGTCAGTCGACTTTTTAAGGTCGCGGGTGAGCATTTCTGTAGTGTCACTCCGGTTAGCCTTCCACAAAAGTGATTCAAATGCCGTTTTCACTTACGATCATCCTGCGCTGTTGATAGCTCAATCACATCGCCCACGCGAACATTTATGACACCAAGGAACCCTTGGTCCTTCTTCTTGAACTTCTTCTGGTCAAATATTTGTACCGCTAGAATGCTATCCTCGGATGCGCGCCTGTTTCTGCAATTAGTTTGTATCCTGACCACCTATCATTCTACTATGCTCACAAATCGAAGCTCTCGTTCCAGTATGGGTTCAGGGTTCTCTTGATAACGCTCGTAGTCTTCGTCTGTTCACCGCCGAGGGTCGCCACTGCGAAAGGGTCTGGGAATCCTGCATCAAACTATCAGTCATTGTGCCCGAATATGATGGTGTTGGGATTCGTACTGAAGACATCACGCTTGTATAGCCCATCAGCAGCGATGACTTGATGCGAATTAGCCTTATGTATGCGGAAGGACGGGGTCGCAGGGAAACATACTAGTTAATCGCAGATTGGGCTGCCTGGCAGAGAGCTGTTAGCATTTGAAGTTCGTATGACGTTGTCTCGGAGGATCACTCACTGAGGCAGACTCGAGTCCATCCTACTACTGCTGGCCATCGTGAAGGAGCGCCAAACTTGGCGGTCTCGTCGTAGGGAACGTCAGTAGCTGCGGAAGTTGACGATATTCAACTCTTCGGTTTTGGTGATGTTTACCAAGGGTTGGTGATGGGGCGTACGGAGTGGTCGTCAGAAGCCGCTGGGGCTGTGCAGGAAGGCAAGCAGGACCGTCCAACCACAGATTGTCTGAGTTGACGCTGGTGCGCTCTGTATGCTCCTCAAGGCATTTGGAATAATCGTATCCGAATTTCAAAGCAACTTATCAGCGTCTCAGATTTTCCGATGGTTCTTAGATGTCGACGAGGGACGTTTGATGTTGTTTCTACGGCAAAGCCAAAAACTAGGCCCCGCTAAATCCTGGGAGCGATTGCCTCACTTGCGAGGCCAACTCAAGGTAAAAATAGAGGGGGATGCAAGATGCTATTACTGGAAACTGCTTTCTTTGCGTCACACCAGCATTGTTTACCACTCATCAAACAGTTATGAATGGCGATTAGATGGGCTTATCTAAGACTCATTCGCGGTAGCGCTGGCTTTATTTGATTTATCACATATACAGAAATGTCCTTCGACTGGCAGCTAACAGTCACGTGGTAAGTAATAACCCCTCCATGATACGAGATGATTCCATACGTTATTACATGGCTTTAAATGAGTTTTGTAAGCCCTAAGAAATCCGCAAACCCTAAGCAATTCCAGTAGATATAACCCGTTTTGACCGAGAAGCCACCGTCATCCACCATGCAAATCTATCGTACTCTTTCCAATCTACCCAATTCGAAGCCACCGTATATCAATTCAGACTTTTCGTAATAGAGAATCCTAATACGGCGTGTAGCCACGACCACGACCTCTGTATCCTCCGCGGTAGCCTCCCCTTGGAGGAAAGCCGCCGCCGCCACCACGGCCAAACCCTCCACGGCCGCCTCCTCTGCCACGGCCTCGGCCACGGGTCATGCCTGGAAGATTGGTGCGTTTAGGTACAACCTGGGACAAGGAATTAGCTCATAGACGTCAATCGGACAGGGCGGGAATCCAACCTTGAGATTACGACCGCGGAATACGCTCTCATTCAAAACCAGGGCTTGAGCAACTAGGTTTGGCTCAGTGAACTCAACGTACGCATACCTGCATAAACCTAGATTAGCATCCGTCTCTTGCCAGGTAGCGTTGATCATATAGATTCTTGAAAAAACGAGTGCCCTTCTCAGAACATGTTTTCCGTGGGTAGAACGCACCCCTTTGGATGGCCCGTGAACTTATCCAGCAAGATAGTAACGCGGTTGATGGGACCACAGGTTGTAAAGTGAGCTTGAATTTCCTCCGGCGATGCTTCGTAGTCGACATTACCGACAAAGATACTTCGAGAATCGATGTCCTCCTTTTTGTCATCCAAATCTTGGTGTTGTTGTTCCATGGTAGCTTGCATCTCCCGGAGTTTCGCTGCCTCTTCTTCCATCTCCGCGACCCTGCGCTTCATTGCGGATATTTCTTCCTGATTGACCGAGGCAGAATTAGCGACTATTTCTGCCATTTTGAGATATTATGAGAGTCCAAACGAGATTATATGACACTGGATGTGATATCAAAAGTGACAATGCAATAGTTCAATCTACCATCAGCTTGAATAGCAGAAATGTAAGAGATAGAACCTGACGCATTTTTTTACGGCAGCAGTCTCAGGGTGCGAGCATCAAATGAATCCGTATCGAAAAGCCATGGTCCGACATGCAGCATTGCATTGAAGCGATAGTGGCTCCGGTGGGTAGAGCCCAGGAGAGTTTTGATGAAATCATCAACATACCTCATCGTTACCCTCCTCTTCAGCGTGTGGGACCTGGTCCTGGAACTTCTCTTCTGCCATATCTGCCATACTTTGAAGCTACCAGGCTACGTTTCGTCAATCGCTACAGTGTGAAATATCGATGGAAAGCGTGAACAGCGCGTCGTCGCAGATCCTGTCAGGACTTGCAAACCAGGAGATTTGAGGTTTCTGCAGGCATCGAAAATTAGCAGGTTTTACAAACGCAGACTCTCTGAATAGCTCTAGTAGATATCCACGATGCATCCACAAAGTAACCTTTTTCGAAGACAAGGCTGTTTCGTGAAACAAAGATATATCCCATGAATGGACAACGTATATCTGCTGCAATGAGAACTCAATCAGACGTACCTTGTCTCGTTGAACTGTGGATGTCGATATCGAAGTGTGTTCAATTCTCTTGCTTCGTCGAAACCGAAATGTGAAAATAGTCGAGCTTGAAGATTGCCGGCAAGGCTGTCGTCAAATAAGATTCACGGCTCGCCGCGCTTCGTCATGACAGGGAGAGATTTTTGGGCTTGCGCGTGCCAAGACGATTCCCCAGCATGCACTCACTGGGGTTTTAGCGCCTCATCTACATCAAGGATGATACACATGTGTACATGGAGTACAACATTGACTGTCGGCATGGTATACGTGTATACTTGTAATCAATAGAGTTATCATAACTATTGGATTTTGATATTAATATCACCCTATCTGTTCACGGACAACGTTCCATAAGCAAATCAACGACGGCAATTAATTCACCTCCAATCTCACAACCTCCCAAATTTCTATCACCATATTTCTCCTAGTAGAATGTTGGGATTGGATCTGGGACATCAGCGTGGCTCTCAAAAAACTGTATGTGTATAATATTTATAATGATTCTATGATACAGCAAGATTTCTAAACCCCTATCCGGATCTCGCAGCAAGGCAATTTCGAAGAGAAGAATTGCACTTCCGTCTTATCTGCTCATACCAGATCCTATCGCCCCAATGTCGTATACAAGCCTATATAGCCCGCTACTCTGTGAATAACAAAGTGTTTAGGTAAGAGAGGTGGTTGAAAAAGCATCGCTGCAGGAACAAACTGTAATAATAATAATAAGTGTTCATAAAGTCGGTCTTGCTCGCTTCATGAGACCAAAAAAAGGTTAAAACAAAATTTGACCCTGGGGCCAACGCTCGCCCCAGTTTCCAACAGAATAGATTTCATCATTTACTTTTTGCGCCGGTCCTTCCCAGGACTCACGAAAGTAACGTGCTTGTCCTCGCCCTTCTTTAATCGAACATCTCCTCCGCTTCCAGCACGTTTTCTTATAACTGTTCTTGGTACAGCGACACCATCCTCGATGTCAATTTCTGCCACATCGCTACCTTCCTCTTCTTCAGAGGTCACACTTTCGACGTCGTCTCCGTCTTCGTATTCTCCATCATCACTGACCAGACTAGGTGCGTTGTTACTCGCAATTGTGTTTGGGCTTAGATCATGAATGGAAGGGCTATGCAAGATTTCGATATCCGTATCGTCATGTTGACGTCTTGGTGTATCGATATGACTTGGTGTCTGAATGTTGATCAGATGGGTATGGGGCCGCACAGGCGGCATGGTCGGGGTTGAACTAATTACCGGCAGGGCGTGAGACATGCGAGGTGAGATGCCGCTCGGAATTCGCGCATGTTGACCCTCGGTACCTTTGCTACTGACAGGACGTTTGAAAGGCGCTGCAGACATAGCTGCTCCAAAAGGCTTTCGCATAACAGGAGCTGGAGTGTCCGAGCCAGTTTGAGGAAGTTGATCGCCTTCAGACTCTTCATCATCATGTGATGAAAATTCGTCATAATCCACAGATTTCTTCGCGTCACCCACAAACTCAGTAAGGTTGCCGTTAAAACCTTTAAGTCGCATCAGGTTGGAAAGATGTGGCGTGTCCGCGGATGCCACAAAATTGGAGTTTGCGTGGGTACTTTGACCTGAGCCAGCAACCGTCGGGGTAGATGGGGCACTAGTTGGAATTGTTGTAACACCAGGTAGCTTTCCCTGCCGATACAACTCCATAGATGCTTCGATTCGACTGAGGAGAGACACATACGCTGCTTTGTCGGCAGGTGCAGTACGAATCAATGGATGGACGAGTCCAGTGGCAACTGTTGGTGTCTTTTCTTCTCCAACGATACCACCAACCTCATCAACCTCGATCGCTTGACCGCTAGCGACAGCCGCCTCTTCATGGCTTTTGAAGTCTCGTCGATGAGCAATACGGCAATGATTGATGAATCCCTGAGTGCTCGAGAAATTTTCCCTCTTACAATCGATGCACACAAGCTTAACCATCTGTCCATCTCCACGTTTAAGAACACATGGACCTGCCTTTTCTTTTGCTTGAGGGTAGCCATTAGACAAGGCTTGTAGCTTCTGGCCTGAAGATCCTCGTTGAGACCGTGATTTACTCCCAGGTGTGCTACCTTCTACGAAGCTGTGTCTAGTCGCACGACCTTCTGGAATGGTTTTTCCAACGCGTGATCCTTCGGAGATCCTATGCCATTCGACTTGCTCACCGTCAAAACTAGGGTCAGGAATAAGCCATTTGGAATAGTGTCTTGCATATGGACCATCGGTAACTCCAAACGCTGGAGCCCATTGCGGGACGGTCCCCTTAGAGGAGACGGCAGCGCCGGTACCATTCATGACATTCATCATCGCTTCAGGAGTCCCCTGTGATGTTGGATAAGGGATCAGATGACAACGACGGAGTTGCTCTAAAGCCACTTGACATTTGGCAAGTTCTTGGTTGATCAGCCGTAGCTCCTTGTGCTTCAGCAAAATCTCCAGACCCAGCTGAGTTTCGATGGTCTCCTGTATTCGGCTTGAAGGGACAGAGATAGAAGCAGCAGCAGTGGGAGTCTTCTCACATGTCTGAGGCTCAGGGGAAGGTGTGACAGGCGTAAGTATCTCAGTCACTGGGGCATCAGGCTTTCTCCGTTTTGCCTCGTGCAAGTCTATCGATCGATCTAGAGCGTCAGACGCATCTTGACTACTTTCTCTCTTCCTTTTGGACAGATTCGGGGAGAGAATCTGGATAAGAGGGTGGGCGGCATTTGCCATGCTGCCTATATCTCCATCAGACACTTTCTCGCAGCCTCTCGAGTCTGCAATCCAAGAAGATAAGCGAAACATTCGAGTTGCACTGGCGAGTGAAGCCAGCAAGTCGGACGGTGCAAGACTTGTCGTTGCTGTCAAGTGAATGAGCCGAACCAACGAGGGAATGGTTCGGTAGCGACCGCGGCCTAAGTCCGACGGTGTTGTGGTGTTGAGCGCAAATGTTCACCAGGCACGTTCCGGGCCGGTAGGTGACGTCGAAAATGGGCAGACCCCCTTTTAAATAGGCGGACAGAATCCTAAAGCGCCGCGCCGGGCTCTGTACAAAGAAGATTAATTAATGAGTCGTGAATAAAAGAGTGCGACGGAAGTCAAGGAGCGCGAGAATCGAAGAGATGCCGTCGTGGCGCAAGTTGGGGAATGTAATGGTGATTGTTGTTGCGGTGTCGTGGTCGTGGTGGAAGGCGACCGAAATGGCGCAAAGAGTGCTGAGATGACGAGGACGACGACGGACGGAGGAAGGGAGTCGCGACGAAAAGAATACAAAAGACAAGCTAGAATGCGGCCGTAAAAGGGAGGAATATTACAAAGGGAGTCGTAAGGATGAGTGAGACTATTAAAACACGAGGTATTGTCGTTGTCGAGGGGCGACCAAGGGTGAAGAAGGATTGTTGGTGAGAAAAAGGGAAATTTCGTGGTTGTTGCGCTGCTGTTCGGTGCAGAAGGGAGATGCGGAAAGCTGTTGGGGGGAGAGAATGCGCCGCGATGGGATTCTTGCTCATTCACAAAGGCGGTTAGTGCAACATGTGGATAATGCCAAGGGATTATTGCTTAGGGTGGCGTAGAAAGCCTGCGTGTTTGTATTCTTTGGAAAGAAGAGGAGTGGCGCTAGTGGTGACTCGCAAGTAATTTTGGGAACAATTTTGGCTGAGGGTGCGTCAGCTATCAGTTAGCAATATATTTAGCACTCGCTTGCATCACTCTGCCTGCCTAGCGCATATATCATTCGTGGATACGTCTCCCTGGCCTGCATGACCACCTGGGCTTGGGCTCGCTTGGGTGTGGTTAGAGACGCTAATACCCGAGGTCCATGCGTTCGCTGCGTTGCGCATCAAAAGGTCTCCACACGACTCCAATGATCTGGACTCTCGTATCTGACATATGGGATACGTTTCAATACCAGAAGGTTTCATTGTGGAAGTATGAGTATTTATCATTCGAAGCTTTGCGTTTGTTTTGAATATATATATTGATGTGCATTATTTGCTTTTTCGACGGGATAATCTTCAATATTGTCAGCCATCTCAACGGCCAACCATCCTCGAGATCCGAATCCATGCAGCTTACTTTGATAAAGTGCTGACAGACCCTTTCCAACCGCCCTTCCTCCTACTCAGGCACGTTCTCGGAGGAACTACCAATCGATAAACCTCTTTGACGAACCAGCGTCCTCTTATCGCCGTTCTCTGTTTCTTTATGTTGGTATTTGCGTAAAGGTTGCCCAATTCGTCTGTGACTCTCGCTTTTGGAATCACTTTTCTTTTCCTGGCTGTATACTTGTCCAAAGTTCTGCGATCCATGTTCTACTTCGTAATTCGTCCGCCCGCATCGCCTTATCATAGGTCCGTCTCAACGCATGTCTTGGACCTAACGAATACCGGAACCTCCCCCTTCGGCCCGCGGAGGTATAAGCGAGATTTCTTGTTGGCATGGCTCGAGAATAGAAATGGATGTCAGAAGTATGTTGTTGTTGCGCTGTGCCTTGAACTTAACATTGTTATTGGAAGACCTTGTTCTTTCCAAGTCTTATCAATATTTCGGTACACATCTTGCTTGGATCATGATGCTGTTTGAAACCTGACAGTGATGCTCTTCCGCGAATGAGTTGTTGAAGACTGGTCCCAACTGGTTGAGTCATGAGAACCGAAAGCTTCAACGTTTGACCAAGAAAAACCGTATAGCAAACCGTGTTAGGTTTCTGCGTTTCTTAGCTCTACATGATTTTTCGAATCTATGCTCTGGAACTGTCATTTAGAAGATATCATCGTGTAGGAGAAAGACATCTGATGCCGATTCAAGGAAGAGAATCGTCTAAGATCAATATATCACTTTCGCCATAAGCTCCCAAGAGTTATCAAATATCAATCTCAAGGGCCTAACATAGTAGCCGGAGGTCCCAACAACGATCATCGAATCCGAATATTCTCACTGGCAATCACAGTTGAAGAAGCCTTTGCAATCCATGTGCTAGCCAGAAAGTAAAGCTTGGCATTGATCGATCGACAGTAACTAATTCTGCCTGTTGCTAGACTTCAACTCTCCGGTGCTCATTTGGTCAATCTAGTGTTGGATCTTGCAGGCACTTGTCTAGTAAAAAAGACAGGCTTGGAAATAAATCAAAGGCGAATTCTGGACTGTGTAAACTAGTGTCTTCTAGCACAACATTCCAGTGTACGTGGCATGCTTAGAATCTTGATATAGATGTTAGGAAGAATGTCATTCATGCTCCATCGTCGCTTCTGTGAGGGTACTAGGAGACGTCTTTTCACAATTCAGAGAAAAATACCACTTGTACCAGTATGTCATAACTCAGATAGAACACCTCCTTACGGTTCGGCTTTAAATGCTATACTTACTTAGTTCATTTGAAAAAAGCATACTTTATCGTCTCTATATATAAGGCTAAATTAGACTTTTCAATAAGAGTGGTACAAAAGCGTTTTTTAGCAGCATTTTACTTGGTGGGTATCCCGTCGGTTTTTAAATCAACTCATAATCAGCCTGGGTTTCATTTGCAGAGTGAGTAAGATTGCAGTGGCGCATGCTGGAGCCCAAAGAACTAATACAAACATTTGGTTAATTATTTAATTAAGTGCTTTGACACTTGATACGCTTCGTATATCTAGGCCAGAGCACTATACCAGTGCTTACCCAGTAGAAATGTGAAGCCTTCCTCTTTACATTTCTTTCACAGCGGTTATTGAATAAAGTAATTTAGCTTTTAACCAACTATTGATCTGGTTTTATTTGTAGGGACATGGGCACTTAACATTTGAACAATTAACATTTGGATGACTGATAACCAAGGTCGTTCTCGTCAGTGTATTTAATCGTGTACCATCCAAAGTATCTATCGAACAAAAAATATTTATTGGTATTCAACAAAAATCTACAGTGCTACTTAATTATCCACAGGCTGACTATACTCACTATGTTTGCTGCCATATAATTATGTGAAGACTAGAAGTAAATTGATTGGCAGTTGCTTCGATCGGATTCTAGCTAGTTCTAGAATTATACTACTTGCAATTCAAGGCTAAGCATGGGCACTCATCTTTTTAACATTCTTCAAATACACTTATTGATTTAGCGAAATCACAATCACGATTCGTGGGTACCGGCTAGTTTAATCATTGAAAAGTTGAGGTTAGATAGCCCAACCAATAAGTGAGAGCTGTAGAGGTTTGCTCTTCGTGACAGTTGCTATCACGTTAGGCATAAAGTAAACAGTGGCAGTGGCAGTGGCAGTGACGGTCGCTAATGTTGGATGGTTTCCAATTCGAGGATTCGGTCGCGACCATAACATGAACCCATCGATCCTTTTGTTCCAACAGGAAGTCATATAAACGCGAGGAGCTTAAGGATCGAACCTTAAAGTAGGCCGTAATCAGACATTTCCGGCAAACTTTGAGCGGACTGGGTATGGTGAGATTTGCTGAAGTCAACAACAATCTTGGTATCTTGAAGTCTACTTTGCAGTAACAAGAAGAAATAAGCTAACAAATTAAGCTGTTGGAAGCATACTCGTATAAGGGGGAGGTTTCTCGGTTAAGCATTACGAACATGGGCAATTTCCATTGCGCCTCACATCAGCAGCCATTGACATGATACCATTATTTTAGTCAAGCCAATGAGAAGCCGGCTTTCTCAAATTTCCATAATGATCTATTCGCTTACTGCAAAAGTTGTCTGCTGCCTGGCAGTCTCAAGATTCGCTTCGCAACAGTGACGACTCAGCCGAGATGGTGAGGATCTTTGTGCGAACCGGCAATCACGGAAGTAGGATTGATTCAACGATAGCCTCAAAGGAGGCGCCTATTCTACGTCACTAGAAGCCTTGCATTGCAATAATTAGGTAATTCCAGGAATGGTGGTAGTTCTATAAGATCGGATTCAACTGCCCAGGCTTCGGAGACGAGATGCGGACTTCGAACCTAATCTGTCAAAGTTTTGCTCTGATTCGGTTTTGCAGCCCCATTGTCACACAAACTATACTCGGACAGCTCCGATTTCACTCGTCTCAAATATGCCTAGGCCATATTGCAAGAACTCGAAGAGATGCCCAGACGCACCTGTGGCCCATATATGGACATCTCTCGGTCTAGTCATAGTGTCAGCACTCAACCTGGCTATAATAGTCTGCGCGTCGATATGGTTTCATCAACTGGGACGAAATGGTCCATACAGAAGGATCGAGATGTCCACGAAAGTGTGAGTTCGAAAGAAACAGAGTCCATACTGAGCGTAGCTAATTTTCAACTAGTAAAACATTCATATACGCCTTTGCATTGCCAATAACGACATTCATCGCCGCTCCACTAGGAATTATTTTGGCCCAGAAGCGTATCCTTACGCCTGCTCTGGCTGTGAAAGGCGGCGGCATCCTTTTCATCGGATGGGCGACACAGACTAGCGTGTGGTTTTCTTGCGAGTCTGATTCAGATTATGGGGTGTACCATCGAACCAACAACAGTAAATTTTGTCCTAGCCTTGTGATCAGTAGTCACCATCAAGCAGTAGGCACCGCAAGATGGTGGACCGGTCTGATGGTCACTCTACTCATTTTCTCCCATCTAGGACTTTCGGTGATGGAGCTTTCAAGAAGTAAAAGAGCATATAGCAACATAGAGGATAAGGCAAACAGCTGTTACAACGAAGGGGAATGGATAGAGAAGGTTGCGTAGAGAAAATGGAAAATACAATGTACATATTACCAAAAGGCATCAGACTTCTTCCAATGAATCAAAATATTGCCTACTTAAAATACTGCATGCTGAAAGCAGCAGATGAAGCAAAATGGCCTAAAGCTCTCGTCAGCCCATGAAATTTAGTCGTTGAAATGTACGTCGAGTACTACACCTGGTATATATAAATCTCGAAGACAGGAAACATGCCAATAAGACTTGTACATAGACTAGATCATCATACTGTGGATAACCACATCTCTCCTGGGCAGAGTAACACCGGAACTTACCTATGTTAGGCATACTAGGGCGCATCTCGAGGCAGCTCTTCCGTTGCACGAAGAGTCGAAGGTATAACACGATATACGTAGTGTGCTACATTTGGAATCCATCGGGTACGACGGACATGGTTGGCAACAGGAGTCGTCGCACGGGTTGCGGAGAGGGAATCAAGATGAGGTTGGAGAGAAGAGTGTTTCAAGAATTCCCAAACCCGCTATCCGCGAAGCGTCCCGTAATGTTGACTGTGACCCAGTCACGATACCGAAGTGGGAACATAAGGTATGGAGGTGAACGAGCTCGGATAAAGTTTTAGCGACTGCCGCTTCACAGCTGCCCAGGACTTCGGGAAAGCGTTAACACCAGATCTGCTTGAGCACTAGCAAATGGCCAGCATCTTTTGTATACCATGGAACGGCGCCGTCTGTATCTGAACTAATTCGAATTGAAAGTTCTGTTCTGTTGGACTCTTTCACCTGAAGTTTATTCCACGACCTAAAGGGGGTCGTTTTGTCCTGGGGCGGAAAAATTGTACACGCTTGTTGCATAGTTGTGTCACCAAATACAATTCGATCTACTCGCCAAACCAACGACTGTAATTTTTGGTTGAATCATACCATGGCTCGGACCAAAAACAAAGCAAGGAGAGGAGAAGGAGCTCTTGGATCACGTGAAGAGCAGAGAGGCCAGGACGGGAATCAAGCAAATAAAGAAAGCAGAAAAGCGCGTAGAGCAAAGAAAAGAAGCCGTAATGATATTGAATCAGACCAGACGGTGGAGATCCAGTCCGCAAAGAGAGCCAAAACATCACCGAATTCAAATGGCATCGATCACGTTTCTTCACTCGAATCAACAAACGCATCAACTGTAAACCCTGAGGAGTCCAGGATATCTCAGAATAAAGATTCTCAGACGGCCGACCCATCAAATACTCTCTCTTCAAGCGCCCCTCCATTGTACGGAGATATCGTCTCTACACACGACATCACTCAAATAAGCATTCTTACATCCAGCAAGATTGAGAAAAGAGTCACTTCGGTACTAGAAAGACTAGCACACTACCCGGTCAAACCGCCCTCAAAACCAGTAGTCGTATTCTTACATTCAAAAGCAGCGGCGGCATCAAAGTTGATCACTATTATAGAGATTGCCAAAAGAGACATTGCGGCGAAGGGAGGAAAGTGGTTTCAGTACAATGCTTTGAGTCAGATCATGGGGGAGGTGTCGAGGGACGTGAAAAAACGAGGTGCGAAGGGCAGAGATCCAAAAGACTCGATGGATGTAGACAGGGGTGAGAAGTCTGAGGATGGGGAGGAAGAGGATTCTTTCGAGGTTATGAAAACTCCGTTCGAAAGAGCTGTCGAGGGGACTCTGAAGATTCGCGCCATGCCCGTTATGGCTACTTACCTGTCAAGAGTTCGGATTGAGAGCTTGCGGAAGAAGTATGGGTACGTCTTTTATTTTAGCACTTGTGTGTAGTGAAAGCTGACTCTCTCAAGCGAACAAACAAATGCGTTAGAGGCTAAGCAATAGATGGGTTGTGGCCAGCTGTGTGTATCAAATGTCATAATGGTGTATTACTACAAGAATTTTTGTGCTATACCACTAAATGTGAGCAGGATCACATGTATGGTTCCGGATAGAGTTTGGGACGAATTTATTGGCGTAAGATACCCTTGTATACAGATAGCTGATCCAATATCAATATTCCAGAAAGAGGTTCAATACATCAAGACCCAGTCCATCTCTGAGAGTCTCCCCAAGCAAAATCTCATTCAATTACATCCAAAAATGTACACCTGCGTCAAACTCGGGCTGTTTATTAAATTACACAATGCCCGAAGCTCGGATAGTCTCGTTCTCAGCTAATCGTTATGTATGAAGTCCATGTCCTCCTCCAGTTGTGTGCAACCATTCATGTACAATGCAATTCGTGTAACGTCGCCTGCCATCCCGACCAATTCTAATGCCAATCTTCTGTCTAAGCTTCTCAATTCTTCTTCCCATGCTTATCCTTCGATTCGTAGGTAAATCTCAGCACAAAGTTTACAATCATGGCAATAAGAATGACGATTGTGAGGAGCGTGGGCCCAAGTTTATCGTCAAATCCAGCCTGACCTCTCAATCTGATCGATTTGGCTCTCCAGTGGAACGTGGTAAGGGCATATATCATCGTTAACATCGCGGCGAGCGTGAAGAGGAAGGCTGATATGAACGCAGGTCTATCGCCAAAATTCAACATGCCAATGGCGAGTGCACCGATGACCACTCCCAGACTCAGCCATGACAAAAATGTACGTTCGTTTGCGAAGAAGACCTTGGGTTCGACTCGGGTTGGAAGAGCGATCCGTTTGCCTGGAGAACGCATTGTTAATGAACGACCCCTATATAAGACCGAACCGCACAAGTAGCAGTCATGTCAATTGGATTTTGGTCGTACTTACCCGGCGCGGATTGAAGGAGAGGTTGACTCGACATTGCTCAAACGACTGGTTGTCCAAATGCAAGTACGTACCGCGTGAGGGCGGAAGAACAGGGACTGATTGGCTGGGCTGGGCGTTTTGCAGCTTCTCAATGACAGAGTTCCAAGAGCACAAAAGGATGGTCTGGTTGCAATTCACGATAGTCAATTGATAGCTCGTGGGCTAGAAGAGGGGAACAGACTGGTCGTACTTGCACACCCAGGACAAAACTGAGGGAGGGAAAGATAAAGTTCAAGCATCAGAAGCTCCCGTGAAGTGCCAGCCCCGCTAGAAGTGCTAAACGTGCCCAGACCAAGCTTCGCGAGTGGCTGGAATACCTGTAAAATCATGATGGGCGTGTATTTTGTTCACTTGCGGTCGTAAATGCAAGTTTTACTGCAATTATTTTAGTTTCATCTGCAGCTCACGAATAATTTATGCACCAAGTGACACTTGCTATCGAGACCGTTGCCATGCGGTGTTGTGTTCCCCAAGTCGGAATCTTTGAGGCCCCTCGCACAAAACGGTCGGTACAAAACGTGCCAGTCGCTCCGTTGAAGCACAGTACGGTGGCCGAAGAAACACACCTATTATTTTCTGTGTCGCACTGACGACCTGTGCGGAATAATACTTGATCCGCATGCCACCAGCTCGCCGTTGCTGTAGCTCGAAACTAAGTCTACTCATACATTGACGACACGTATCTGGAGAGTCTCATTTGTTCAAAGAAAATCAATACCTCTAATAATTATGGCGACACCAGTAAGTATAAGTCCCGGACATACTGCTGAACATGACTGACAACAATAGCCAATTTCTTTCACGAGGCTGAAGCAAATCGCAAATGATGTACGCCAGACCTTGCACTTCCCATCCTGCTGAAAACCAATTCCTAATACTTCGACAGGCATGCCAGAGTGCGTTAGGAGGCGCTGATTACTACGAACATGGCAAGACGGAAGTGTGGAATACAACTATCATCGTTTGTTTACCCCACAGTGTTTACCTCCAGGGGTTGAACACTAGCAATTGACCGCACGCAGAATTCCATCCTCAAGTCGCTGATCTCAGAATCATCTCCTACAGGTGGCAGCCCTGCGTTCAAATATGCCGTTAACAGCACCATCATTCAGCACCTAGTACCAACCTCTGCGCTCAACAAATCCAGAGCGGTTCAGGAACCTACACCACCCAGGACCGGAGAGGCCGATTCAAAGATCTCAACGAGCGACGCGAAACCCGAAGCTACCTCGACCGATGGAAAACCACATGTCGGGCGTAGAGGAATGCATAGTGCAACGGGAGCGTTCTGGAACGAGAAGACAGATGGGATGTGGAGTTTCAAGTACGAAGGCGGGGAGAATAAGGGTTTAGATGTCGTTGTTAGTGTAATCTGGATTGCCATATAGGTAAGCACCACTGGAGTTTGAAAGCAGCAACCGAAAACAACATACAACATTGAGATAACGGCCACGGAAGGGTAATGACGGGTTGAGGAGGGGGACATGGAAGGGAAAGGTACCTCCCTAGTCAAGAGGCTAGGTGTACGAGTGTTACCATATACTGCTATCGCTTCTTGCCTTGGATGATCTTCAACAGCATTGTAGAATCATTTGGTTTCTATCCCAAGTCTGGCTTCTCTCGTGTCTCTTTCGTCTACCGATCCCAATCACTTTCTTCAAGCCTCTTTCATTCTCTACGTGTTCATGCATGTTTCCCCATATTTCCTTTGCGACAAACATCAGCTTGCCATCGGGTGCAACGACTGTTTTTACGGGCTGGATCCGCATCTCGAATGCCTACTTCAATTCGACTTTCTGCTGCATTGGGACGAATGGGACTGATCCTTGGCTTGCTGTTCCTTCATGTACCCCCACCCTTGTGTCAGTTGATGCAGAACTGGGGAGGTACCTGGAGTGACATCTGTGTGGCTGCATGTCAACCGACCCGATTCTACTTGTGGAGATTTATATAGACTATTTCCATAACCTACTAGAAACCCCACATCAAAACTCACGATACTTCCAAGCTGCTCCGGACTGCAGGGAAATACCTCGGCTTTTGAAGATTTCGATCCGGTCGCCACACCGCTTCGTTTTTGATCAGCGAGACTAAAGACGGGCCCTAGAAGGACCCTTAGATGCCCCGATTCTTCTAGTCTGGGTCTTTGTCTCGCCCAATTTCAATACCCGCGACCGGAAATCCCTACTTCTTGAGAAAATTCTTCCTGAACAGCAGACATAAATACCAGCCTCGTGTCCTCGGAAGACTCACTCATAAATACCCGAAACTCATTCACCATTTTCTGTATCTTCCGGACTAATCATACCATACCTCGTTTAATATTTCCAATATGGACTCAACCTTCTCTTTGTGAGTAATGTTTTTCCACGTCTCTCGCAACTACCAGACGCTGACTTTCATACAGCCAGCGCTTGGGATACGAACTGCAGGAATATATCGTAGGCCAGCATCTAGATCCTACTGATTGGCCTGCTCTTTCCCAAACTTGTTCTCTATTCAGAAACATTGTTCAGGGCGAGGCTCCATCTCAACTTGGGGAATCTGTCCACTCTGCCCTCACTCAGTCAGTCACGGGACTCATCACCACAATGGACTCCGCAACTTCAACTTCGACATCGTCCCCTAGTAGCAGCGGCGATCACACTCCTAGCAGTACTGATACTGAGATGAGCTCGCCCGAAGAACAAGACTGGGTGCTTGAGGTCACGCCAGACATGATTGCGCGATTGTCCTCTTTACCGCGCCGCCGAAGTGGAGCCAGTCTTCCCACGCTACCAACAGAGCTTCAGTTTGAGATATTCAGCTATCTTGATCAGATCGATTCTACCTGCCTCGGACTCACTTCTCCTCGATCTTATGAAATATTCAGAGCCATACATGGCACAAAGATGCCCTTGAATACTCGCCGAAATGGACCAAACAAGCTCGAGGCGGCCTGGGAGGTAGTAGGGAAGCAGATGTGCGAGCATTGTGGGATTTACAGATGCGAGCTTCACCAGCACATCAAGTCATGGATGCCAGAGGGTCTGGAATATTGCAACATGAAGCGCAATTTCGGAGTCCCAGCTAAAGATGGTGCAAATGCAACTTGCTACCGTGGAAAGCCTAGCAAGCCTCGACGATGTGGTCGCCACCCGGTCAGAACGTGAGTACATTCACTCCAATTAGCCGGCGTATCTTCTCTCTTGTGTGGTTCTTATCTGCGATCGGAAATGGGAGATCATCATTCAGACCAGTCGCTAACAAAACAACCACAGTACTACAATCCATCAAGATGACCATGTCTCCAAGCTTTGAGTTGTAATTTGTTTTGAACCCGAGGAAACATTAACCTTGCGAGTCATTTCCACATGGCGATCCTGCAGTGCAGCACTTTTCAGCGAATCATTTTAGCGTGGGGTTTGGCGGCATTAGAATATTGACATGCATTTCGGAAGGGATGGGGGTGGTCATTTCGGCATACGTACGGCGTCTGGGACGTCATTCTACGGCTTTTTTCTTCAAGTGCTGATGAAAAGGCACGAATCTTCTTATTTATTCACCCTTCCCATTTAGGGAATGGCGTTCGGCAGGTTAGGTGGCCTAGTTATTCACTTGGTTTTACACAGTTCTTCGCAAATGGTTAACGGCAAAGAGTATGTCTGGGCATTGGTGGCGCTTTGGGTATCATAATGCGGGCAAATTATTATTGAATTATGAATTTGAAAACTTTGCTTGAATTAAGCGTGATGTCAATACACAGAGAACAGCTCGCTTGACAGATTAAGTGCCGAATAGGTAGGATTATCATCGTGTGTAAGTGCTTACTAAGATTGTCCCTCACATTGGATAGCTCTCTGGGCAATCTGATCAAGCTGTCAAGTAAGACGTCGATATGTCCAGCTCTTTTCGCTCGCAGTGAAGGGAGATTCAACATGAACAGGTCTGTTGGGTTGCTCACCTTCACTGCCGTCATAGTCAAACATGCAACACCATTTGCATTTCCTCTCCCCTGTTGCTAATCTCAAATTCAGTAGTCAATCTTTCTATCTTTCTTTCATTCTTTTGACAAAACTATGTCTAGTTGCACTCATGCCAAGCGTGTTACGCTTTTCAGATCAAAGACTGTTCATATTATCACTTCCATAATTTTCCCCCATCGGCATTGCTCTCGATACCCTCCAGATTTGGTATCTCATTTAGCCTGTAGAATATCAGCAACTGCGTCCGCTATTTGCTTCTCTACGTCGCCTTTCTTTATTCTGCCTGGAGCTTGACTCTACACCTGCCTGATTCTTATCCGCAATTTCTTTCTGCTTGAAAGTACGTCCGCTTTCAGCTCTAGCCATCTCCATTTCTACCTCGTTGTAATCTTCCATATCTCCTTCCTCGGAGGAATTCTCAGTAAAGGCGCCTCTAACATGATTGCTCTTGGGAGTAGAAGTTTCCAACTTGTTCAAGACAAGTATACCGGGTCTGTTACACGGTATGCCAACATTGTCACGGGAGGATGATTCTGTGGGTCAGTTCTCTGGAGAAGTTTTGACACTCACATAAAAACTTCCAAAGTCCTAAGTAACAAATTCACAGTCGTCGCTTGTGTTCCGGTGGCCACTTCTGTTTTTGGAAAGCTGTGAAGTATACAATTAGTGAGGTCTTGCAGAATAGTCCAGTTTTTTTCTTTATGCTGGGCTAACGGTCAACTTCGCGATCTTTGCAATGTATTGTGGACTTTCGTTATCGTTCACGACATTTCTAATTGTGTTCGCGCTTTTCTTAAAAATACGTTGAGGTTCTGGCTTGAGATTTCGTGGAAATTTGTAAGCCCCATTCCGTACATTTTTGCCTGACTCTTTTTGTAGAAACTGTCACTTTCCAAAAATTCTCGATCTGGTAGTTTTCTCCCGCTATGGCTTCCACTCTTATCGCCATCGGACCCCTCAGTAAAAATTGCGTTGCTAATGATGTTGTGCTTGGTGTGGACAACTGGCTTCGCCTACTTTCTTGTCTCTCAGTTCTTCTATCTTCATTAACTGGACTTTTAAAAGAAGCTTAATTGATGGGTGCAACATTACGTAATTCTGTTGGGACGTTATGGGACGACATTTTGAAGATTTTGATGGACAATAATTGTCGAAAAGAACACAGTTTTATATACCTAATTGTATGGGGCAAAACTGTGTTTCTCCTGTGATGATTACTCTTCTTCTGGAAATCATAGAACTCACTTGTTTGTACACGGGTTTTGCCGAATCAAACGAGATAATCGGTAAAAGAAAGGAGAGATTGCTGTAAGCGAGTTTTCAGAAGTGCTGTTTGTTACTGACTCCGATCTCGAAACGCTCTTTGAGAGAACCCAACCACTAATATAACTGCTCAATATGCATGCGTATTATAACTTCGATTAAAAGTTTGAATTCTTAAATACCACTAAGTATACCGAAGAGATAAAATGCTCAGAATGGAGATATAGGTAGGAATATTTGCCACCTTGGCCCTCAGATCCCATAACAAAGTGGAATGCAGTGATTGCCGTAAGTCCTAATATAGTAGCCTAATTTATACGGGAGTGAAAGTAGATCTCCTCCGCTGTTGACATTCAATCAAATCTTGAGTTTCTCAAAGATCTGTGACCAAGTTTCATAGCCACATTCAGCAGCATGATACTCCTCCGGACCCAAACCACGGGCCGCTTCCATTTCTTGCTTTCTCTCAAATTCAGTCCTCGGTGTCTTATATAGTACACCTAAACTGGTTCTTGTATGTAGACCTAACTCTTGTTCGTCCAACATCTCAACCCTCGAATCGAGAAAGACAAGTAGGATCCGGACTCGGCACCTTTTACAGTGGCTCTTGTACCATGCAATATCTTCGGGCTCCAGGGTGTGGACCTGTCTTTGAACTTTTGCCTTCGACAGAAAGTTGCGTTCGAACTCGAAGTGATCGAATGCCTCCTGTGGCTTGTATATGCGGCAGCCCTCACAGCTAACTAAATCGCCCCAAAGAGTAACCTCATTGTACAGTAAGGTGCCAAGATCTTTGCCCCATTCAATATCTCTACATCCCGTAAGATACCAATCGTCAAAGCCCCAGTTTAACAGATGTTGTCCGTCGACGCTTGCCTGGAGGTTAAGACCAAATTGAAATCTTTTGGCGTTGAACAATCCTGTGATAGGATCTCTAGGGTAAACCATGTGAAATATTAACTCCAGAGTTGTGCATGTTAGGCCTAAGCATCTCTGTGAAACGGGATCTAGTGACTGCATCAACTGTAGGAGGAGGTCGATTGGTAGAGTGTGAATTGAGAAACGATGGTGCGTACGTGCAGAAAGTGCACAGGGTAGGTTTGATCTGAACACAACGTTTAGCTTTGCAGGGACTTTTCTATGTAAAAAACAGACAGCTGCAACGGAAGATCCAAAGAAAGAATTCTGCCATCCTCAATTGTGCTAATTCGCTTATCTCCCGAGAAGTTCAAAAGTAGTATTTATCCTGCCTTGAATTGTCTCAAGGGCCAACTGAAAAGCGGAACATCAAGAAGCCATCCAATTCGTCTTAGAGAAGGCCCCCTGAAAATTTCTGTACTCGGGATATTACAAAGAGATTTAGGTGACTCACTCGGTGTTGCCTGACAGGGTCGTGGCTCGAGCGAAACTCGGTTGTTCCATCGTGAAAATCGCAACGCAAGCATCAAGCCCGAAGAGAAATGCTAAGGACAGTGTTTGATCGAAGCTGTCTCTCAATCTTTATACAGTGATAGTTGGTTGGTAGGAATATATTCAATGTACAACTGAGTGAAATTGAGACAGGCCGGGTTAAGTGATATGACCGTTACAAGTGGTTTTGAGTCGAAGAGGAGGTCGAAAATGTGATGTTGAACCGCCGTTTTTGATATGTGACTTCGCAGAACTCATGAAATTCAAATATAAGAAGAAGAAGGCAAGACGCCAGTAGGAGAGCTTTATAGAGGACATGCAATGAGGAAACCTATTGTCCATGGAGTGGATCGCTCCTTCTTATTCACAACCGACAATGTCACTTTTGAGGATTCATTTAAAATCAATGCGTCACAATGTGAAGACTGGCAGAATACGCTCTCTTGTGAATCATGGATCGATTTTTGTTACTTACATCCGTGGGAGGGGCTAATTGGATTCGTTCCTACCGGCGCCCTCGCTGGATGCCAAAAACTCAACCTCACTAGTCGAAACGGAGGGCACAGGCGTCACAACGTTGTAATATTACAGAAAGAAATTGTTATGGGACTTTTCAGCATTTTAGTTGAGCCTAGACCCTCTCGAGGTGCCTGACAGATAAGTCTTGTGGACTGTAATTTCTCAAGGGCGGATGAGGGCATTGTAGCCTGATGACATGGCTTTGGTTGCCTTCTTCATCCTAAGCGAGATCCATCATCATCTTCGGCCACCTTTGTTTAAAAAAGCTTGGATCAAGAGAAATATGTGTGGAAAAAATTAAAGCCAGGCTGAATGAAACTGTGCCGTGAAGTGGGCATGATGAAGAAGGCATGAAGAAGGCGTGAAGAGGGCGTGAAGATAAACGATCTAGGAAAGTCGGGAAATTGACTATAGTATGTAAAATCTCAGTCAATTACACCTGCATCTAAACATTATCATCAAGCGGATCATGAAAGTGATACAAAGAATTTCCCTATGAGCGTCATATTCCCTGGCGTGAAAGCAGAACGCGCCAGTCGTAGAATATGACGAAATGCGTGGCTGTTGTACTCAACCACAAGTATTGGCAAATACGTATCTTTCAATCTGTATCCCCAACTACCATTTCTAGAATGTCAAGAACCTGGCGCTTCTCTGTTAAAGGTATGGCATTCGTTCCCAACCATCGATCCTTTAGGCTGTTATCTGCCAACGCGTCCAGCTTGTCTTTGCCTACGCCAACATCCTTCAATGTTCTTGGCATCCCTAGTTCAGTGATGATCGCTCCAATAACGTCTCCCGCATCTGCCTTCTCTTTTTCAAGTCCATGCTTCTTTAGTACTTCCACGACGGCCTCATCTGCCCACAAAATATCCAGAACCTTTTGCTGTGGTTTTCGAACATTCTCATCTCCATGACGATAGTTGTACTTCAACACTGCAGGTAGAAGGATACAAGAAGTTTCTCCATGTCCGACGCCCAAAGGTCCAAGTTGGTGTCCAATGCCATGACTACCACCCATTGGAATACCTAGATCCAAAGCCCCCATGGCAGCACGAGCGCCAAGCATCTCCTTCAGTCTTGCTTCTTCGTTTTCCCAATCTTTGCTGGTAATCAGCAAGTTTGGAACAAGTAACTTAAGACCTTCGCCAAATTCCTTGTCAGATTTAGCACTAACTTTAGGCTGGAGAGAGCAAAGTCCCTCTACACAATGATCCACAGCTCGGATACCAGTAGATAGCCAGATTTGCCTGGGTGTTGAGACCGAAAGAGCGGGATCAAGGATGATGAGACTTCCTCCAAGCTCTTTATGTGAAAATGAAGCCTTGTGGTGGTTTCTTGTGTCTGTGGCACCGGCGAATGGAGAGTATTCACCACCAGAAAGTGAGGTAGGAATGTTGATAATAGGTAGAGCTGGGGCTTTGATATTTGGTGTCTCCTGATCTGCTGGCAGTTTTCCAAGATCTTCTGATGTCTTCACATCGTTTGCTAAGGCCTATCGACTTCGCAATTAACAGCAGAAACTGACATCAAGGATTTGGAATTACTTACGAAGGCCACAACCTTGGCACCATCAGTCAGACTTCCAGCACCCAAAGTCACTATAATATCTGCCCCTAAACTCCTCACTTCCTCCACAATCTCAACTACATCACTCCAAGGAGTGTGGGGCTTGATGCCCTTTCTCACTCCTACGACTTTTTCTCCCAAAGCGTTCGTAAGCTTCTTGAAATTGTCTGTTTTCGAGATCGAATTGGACACTATAATGTATACTTTCGAGGCTTTGAAAGTATTGGTGACATGATGCGCGCAGGCTTCATAGAACGGGATGCCGGATGAAATGTGGGGTTTTGGGTTGTGATCCGTGAAGGGCACATAGGATTCGCCTTCTGCAGCCATTTTGATTGAATGCGATATTGTAAAGATGCCCCTTGAGACAGCATGAAAGGAGTACTGATCAGTAGATAGGTAGATTTCGATTCAAATATGGCTGATATAAATATGGTGAATAACAGTTCAAGATAGTGTCGTCAATCATCCTAATGTATGGGAGCCCCGCACTGACTCGGTTAGCTGCTATTGACTTCTGTCCCACTCGAAACCCACCCCTAGGGATTATATAGAGTCAATATGATTCAAAACATAGGTACAACAATTTGACGTGGTATTTTTGCCCGGTGGGTTTTACATTAGCATCACAGTTTAAATCCTCCAGCTCCACTCAATGATTTATCCCCCGCTACTTTATTTCCATCCACATCCCTCAACTCACCCTTCTTTCCGATAACCCTAACACCTCCCTTCTTCAAATCCCCGACCATTTCCCTTTTGCCCTTAGTCTTCTGGCTCTCGGGACGATTTTTGATCTCTTCGCCGCCTCTCTTCTTAATCCTCTCCTTCTCACGTCTCCTTCTTCGTAACTTCTCTTCCCTGGTCATCTCTTGTCGGGCAACAGGAGCGCCGCTCTTGGGGACAATCTCGCCCTTCTCAATGGTTTCCTTCTCTTTACCAGCCTTGTAAATTTCCTGAGGCGCAAGCATAGAATCACCTCCATTGATACCAGCTGCTGTTGTAGGTTGTGCATCCTCCATCGCGATAGTTGCCACATCGGAAACCACGGTAAGACTCGGAGCTGCAGGCTTTGGCTTGTAATGCCAGCTACTAAGAGCATCCAGCTTGGCACTAACATCTTTCCATAGTGCTTCTATCTCTTTCTCTTCCTTGCGAAGCTTCTCATCAGCTTTACTAACATATGTGTCTGGGTTTTGATTCTTAACGTGCTCCTCTTCATACATTTCTGCAAGACTTTGCTGTGGTTTCGAGTCATCAAGTTCGAATGCTCCCCTGCGAGTGGTTGCTGGCGTGAGAGAATCCGGTCGGCGGCGAATGACCTCGTCAAACTCTTGGGCCAAGATTCGTCGTTTGATGAGCTCTTCTATACTCTCTGATACTTCGGCTGTGATCACGGGTACTGGCTTCCCAGTACGCTCAAAATCAAGGTCTTCGTCTAGCAAAGAGTTCTGGGGCCTGTCTGCTGCTCTTGCCTCCCCTGATAACGTCCACTCACGTTTCGCGACCGAAGCAGCTTCCAACTTCCTTATTTCTTCGGCAAGCTTTGCCTGCCGACGTTCGTGAGCCGAACGTCTTGATTTAACATCTCCAGCATCCACGTCTGAGAGAGCATCTTCTGAATCGGCTTGATCTGATAGATCATCGAAAAGATCTCTCCTGACGTCCGCCATTGCTCGCTCAATCCCATCTTGATCATCTGCTGGCTCTGTAAACTTGACCCTCTTTGATTGCCGTTCAAGATAACTCGCTTGACGTTCTCCCTTTCCAATTTTCCGCGGGGGTGGTTCGAAGAAATCTTTGTAGAGAATGTCATTTGTGTTATCACCTGCCGGATAATCATCACCATCCATGTCTTCGTCATCGTTTTCACTCTCACTGTCCCCATCAGGTGCGTTAAGATCCATATTCCCAAAAGTAGGACCCCCGTCTTCATCCTCTGAGTTTTCATCATCTTCAGCATCGTCAATATCCATAGCTGCTGCCCGTTTCGAGCTCGAAACGACCGGTATTGAAGGCATCGTCAAAGGGTTTGCATCCCAGTCAATATCTTCTTCATCGCTTGCTTCGCCGGTATATGGATCTGCCGTTGCATCCTGTTGCTCCAAGAATTCTGTTTGTTTATTGAATTCGTCAATAGAGAAGAATCCATCATTGAGTTTATTTGGGTCTTCGAGAAAAACCGCAGTAGGCTCTTCCTCTTCCTGATTTTCTTCATCATGTTCGTCAAGATCGTCTTCTCCAACCGAAATATTTGGAATTTCTTCGTTGTCGACTTCGGATTCGAATTCGTCCTCGAGCACATTTTCTTCCTCTTCGCCACTACCTCCTTCCAGATCCTCTTCTTCAATCTCTTCGTCCTCATCCAGGCTCTCGTCATCGGATCCGACCTCAAAGCCATCCTCATCAAACTTCATCATATCAACCCCGCTATCGTCCTCGACCTCTCCCTCGATTTGCTTCTCGTCATTCCCCACACCTAATGCCTCCAAACCCCTCTCGGCCTCCCCTCTCAAAGACTCAATGACCCTTCTAGCCTGCTCCCAAACCTGCTCAACTGCAAACCCTTCAACATGCACTTTTCGGATTTTCAAGACCTCGCCTTCCACCACGCCCGCTGTTCTTTTTCTTTTCCTTTCCTCCCTAAATCTTGCGCTTTGCTCGTCCCCCAATCGGCCAGCAACAACATCCAGTGTTCCCTTAACATAGCCCAATGCGCCCTTCCCTAAGCCCTCCGTTGGTGTCAAGAACTTCTGTCTATTACCAGACTGCAACGAGACGAAGAAATCATCCATTTTCGCTCCAGCAAGAGTGACTTGAGATTTGGTCGTAGGAAAGGCAGTCAATGTGTGAGATGTAGAGGTCATTGAGGAGCTCGCGCTGTTATCTGCTGCCATTTTTGGCGAGTTGTCTTGCTCTAACTTTTTAGTTGCGGGAAGCAAAAAAGATTAAATTTGGGATCGGTCGGCGATAAGCGGCTGAGCAGAGGATTATCGCCATGTGACACAACCCCCTCCAAAATGTGAATTCAACCAATGAGCAAGACGGGGTTTTGGGCCTCTAGGTCAAGCCAGTACCTAGCTATTTTGACATTATCAATAAATTCGCCTTCAGAATTTTTGCAATGGTCAAAGCTAGGTAAACCACTGAACTCCCACATGTTAGGCTTCCAATATCAAAGGATTAAAATGGTTCCTGCCACAAGCAAAATCGCCGCTAATGCTTGGTATTACCTACCTAGGTAGTTCTAATAAATAGATAGCGTTAAACAGCTTTCCGCCCCTACACCTAGGTCCATCTGCCACTGTGTACAGAAAAGACCCGATAAACTAAATCACAGGTCTTTGCTCATAGGCTGTTTCTAAATAAAGAACGGAGCAAGAAAATACGTATATCAGTTTTGAGAACGCATTGAGACGCGTTTTAATACGTTCGAATTCCCAATTTCTACAGATTAAACGCCAATGAATACCGCCTGTATGCGGCCCAGTTTGTACAACAATGAAAATATCCCGCCCGAAACCACTGACTCTCTACTTTCTATACCACATTCTAGTAATCTTCGTATGTCTCATCTGACATGTTGTTAGCTTTCAAAGGACCCCGCAAGGGTAAATTTTGACACGTACCTTTTTCTGTAACTGGAAAATACCGTACATCAACGCTTCGGAAGTTGGTGGGCATCCTGGAACGTAGATATCGACCGGAACAATTCTATCACACCCCCTTGTCACACTGTAGCTGTAGTGGTAATAACCTCCACCATTTGCACAACTACCCATAGAAATAACCCAACGTGGCTCAGGCATTTGATCGTAGACCTGTCTCAGCGCCGGTGCCATCTTGTTCGTAAGAGTACCAGCAACTATCATAACATCGGATTGACGTGGAGAAGCTCGGAAAATGATACCGAGTCTGTCCTGATCGTATCGTGGGGTTGACAGATGCATCATTTCGACAGCACAGCAGGCGAGTCCAAAGGTCATAGGCCATAGAGAACCTTGCCGCGCCCAATTGGCAATTTGATCGAGTGTTGTCCTATAGGTGGATTAGCACACTAACTTGATTGATCGCCGCATTCATTTCCCCAGGCTCAAGCCAACGTCTAGATCACGCCCAATTTCCCGCAGCATTTAGATGAATCTTCAAGAACGGAAACCTACAGTGCATATTGCATGACCCCCTTCTTGCCTTCTTGACTGGGCAGTGGAACTTCGCGTCTCTCTTTCCCTGTAACACTCATGGGTGGTGGCGTACCCGGATTTCCGTGGACATTATGGGGAGATACTGCAGTTGCCGGCTTCGCACTCGATGAAGAGATTGCCGCAATTGATCGATATGGGACGAGGAAGGACGATGGCTTAGCTAGAGTTCATACATTAGCATCTGTGGCAAAGGTGCGCGGCTTTGAGAACCAGAGCCACAATCAATATCTTACCTCGCATAGCAAGCGCAGCCGCACTTCTAGTTGATGGCAACATCTGATCGTTAACGTGAAGGGAGATGTAGAAAGAAATGAAGTGTTGAGTGGAGGGGTTGGAGCGTTGTTCAGAAGACGATGAATCGTAGATTGGGGCAACCGATATATCTGCGCTCTAGTGCCGCCCTGTGATCTGTCCCATGTACCCAATCAGTGGCCGCGGATTGTAAAAGGCTCTACATTGGAAATGCACCAAACCAGGAACACTTTCAGCGATTCTGGACATGAGAAGGAGAGTAAGAGTTTTGTTCGAAATAACTTGAGATAAATTATCTACTCCAATTACTGCAGCAACTGGTATGATTTGCGCCAACATGTATAATTGATTGCAAGCGCTACTTTAGCCCGCCGCAGCAATATTTGTCACGTGAGATTGCAAAAATCAAGCTAAATTTCTAGGTTTGAATACTACACTTCTCTGGTCTGTGTTTGAATTTTTATTATTAATTGTTGTATACATGAGAGCAGTGTACTTTCTCGAACCAATTTCAAGTCTATCCATTAATACAAGTTTTAATCTAGTATCAAATTTATACCATAGAAGGGAGAAAGGAAATTCGTGTGTAGTTATTGTCCCTGAAAAATACCCAATAGACAGCTTCGAAATCAAGCTCCAGATGCCTTCGAATTCTCATCCATTAGAACGTTGATCTGAGCATCAACTTTCGCGTCTTGAGCATCTTGCTCAGCTTTCCCTTGCCGACCGCGAGGAGGTGATCTTTCGTCACTATCTTCCTCACTACTGTCACTCCCATGCTGGCTATCCATATTGGACTGTCGGCTTCTCGTCATCTGAACATAGTTAGTCGCAGCTTCTCCAGAGCAACATCACAAAACTTACCCAAGAACGAACCCCACCAATCAAACCCAAGCTATATCCTGTCGCAAAATCACTCCCACCTACGCCAGGACTGTCTGGTCTTGGTATTTCTAAGCGGCGGCTGAGATGTGAAAGGGCGGTTGGGCTTGTGAGAGAAGTGGATGATTTGTTATTGTCGTCATAACTAGAGAGTCTCGCTGGACTTCCAGGTCGGCTAGCTTGCCAGAACTGTCTAAGTTCCTTTCCTAACTCTTGACCAGTAGTGCTCCAGTTGTTGCGAATCGCATCTCTCATTTCTCTAACATGATGCTTCAAGTCTAGTTCGTTCTTCTTGAGCCATGACACATTAAGTTCTTGACGGGAAGTTCCTCGCTTGAATTGGCGACTGATGTATTTCTCGTAGTCGCGAACGATCCTGGAACGATCATGTTAGCTGGTTTCTTAAAATGTAAATATGCTTACTCACTTTGTGATAATTCCAGTTGTGCTGACCCCCTCTGTTCTTTGTGTGACAAGGAACATGCCGGCCTCCTTGATAGGCTTATAGATATCGTCGCCTTCGTCCGCTCCATACGGGAGATCGTCATGGGCAACATAATCGATTTTCTTTTCATTTAGGAATTCGGGCGTGACAATCCATGGGCAGTCTTCGATGACCTCGTCCACCCACTTGCAATGTCTCACGGTCTCAGCACGCTCTTGTCCGCTCAAGACCGTTAAACCCTTTCGCTTATGAGTTTCGGTGTCACCCGTCACACCAACAATAAGGTAAGTCTCGGGAAAAGCTTTTTTGGCTTGCTCAAGCTGGCGCATGTGTCTAAACAAGAAATGTTAATCACGATTTCTTGCAAATTGCCAGAGGTTAACCCCACTCACCCAAGATGAAACAAATCAAAAACCCCATCAGCATACACGCGAACAGGTCTGCCGGCTGGAGGAGGGTTTGTTTTGTAGCCCACTGGATCTGTTAACGCGCCAATTGGCGGTGGTGCCATCGTCTCAGCGTCCTTAGAGATGGGTTTCCTCCCTTTACGCCCCACTCGATTTTCAATATCTGCGCTTCCTTCTGTCGTGTCTGACGGCTCTCCAAGGTCTTGCGCTTCGTCTCGTCCATTGGCAGTAGTCTTCTCATTGTTTGAAGAACGTAGTCTTTTGGGAGGGTGGTTATTGGTCGCGTCAACCAAAACATCTTTCGACTGGTTTATATTGGCAGACTCGGGCCCCGTGAACTCGCCATCTTCACCTGATGCGTCTCGAGATGATGGTTGTAGTTGATCAGTAGGTGCTGCTTTCTTGCCGGTTGTTGGAATAGTTGCAGTTCGTTTCCTTTTGCCAACCCCGGAGCCCGCTGACGAGGGTGACGACATCGTTTAATATCGTATAGGTGATTTTGCAGTTTTCTGATGATCCGAATTGAATGCTCGAAACAGGGCTAACCGGTTGATGTTGTGTTGGGTGGTATTTGTTGTTATCGCGGTGCGGAGTCGATTAGACTTTACTGACGGAATTCCAGGAGAGGACAGGTCTGTAGCTTCCCGCTGAAACGAAATAAATTTGACCGGGGTATGAACCGTTGACAAGGGTTCTAAATTGGCGTAATAGAGAATGAGAATGCGCTCAAATGTTTTTGGGAGGAGAGTGTTCTGGAGTTTTGTAATCTTTTCCACTTTCAATGCATATGTCAAAACAAGGCATGGAAAGTTGTTCGTAGCATGTGTTCATCAGCCTTGGACATTCCTGGAAAGCGACGAAAGCTGGCAGATTCAAAGCGGGCGGTCGTCATAAGGTAACGTGACCACCGCACTAAGCGGCAAGAAAAGGGGAGGGCCAGCCGAGATTGAGAACTACCCGCGAGACCAGTAGTCTGAAAATTTAGTTTACATGTTGATTTGTTAGTAAGGAAGAAAGTGATTTAAGTGGTAATACCACCTCTTACAAACTGATATTAATAGTGTCACTCCTCCTTCACCACCCAAACTTATCAATTTGGGGGGGTCTGTTGTAATTCCAAGTATATTTGACCAGACCGACATAATGCGTTATTGACACCTTTCTATGGATCATCCCAAAAGATCTCCGATGCAAAAGAAACTGGATCTGAGAAAGCAAAACTCGCTACACGATGATTAAGGAAAACCCCAGCAGGCGAACTCGAGTATCAAGAACAGCAACACCTCTTGCATGAGGTATTTTGTCACAGAGTGGTACTCCTTCTCTCTTCCATCAATCCTCGAACAAACTCGTTGACAGTGAAGTCATGATCAGAAAAAGCATTTCACATTTTGCCATACAACACAAAACACCGCAAGTCTAATTCAGGCTTAAGCGCAGAAAACGTCAGTCTAGAAACAGCGCTCCAAGGGGGTCATGTCGTTATTGCTTCCTTTATGAAGACCATCCACCCGGCATTACTTGCTCCCGGGGGCCTTATTCTCCTCTTTGACTTCCGAGCTAGGGAGCTTTTCTTCTGCGACACCTTTGTAATCTGGGGCTGTACTACTGTTATTGTCGATTCCAGCGCCGGACTTCGACTCTTCGGAATCTTTGTGGCCTGTGACCTGACCCTTGTGCACTTGGCTTGCAAGATCTTTGTCTTCCTCTTGCTGGTCAAACATTTCTGTGTCATCTGAATCGGTCAAGACTTCAGTGCCGTCCCCGAGGAGGATGATACGACCCCTTTGGTTGGCTGAAAATGGCTTATTCTTTTGGTCCATATCGACATCATATCCACTATCACTGTCATCAAAGTTATGATGTATGCCTGGTCCTCGGAATTCAGCTATCTTTGCTATCAGTGCTATGTTCAAAGACTAGAGCAAAAACCAAGGCTACTTGCCATACTCTGGAGGCGCACATGGGCCATCTCCATTGGCAACCCTTTTCGCAATTTCCTCATACCACTCATCCTTAGATTTCCCTCGCAATAGGCCAATAACAGTCATGGTCATATTATCACAACCGACACCACCAGTCTCGGAGTTTGACGCGAGACAATTATCCATCATGTTTTCGCAAATCTTTGAGAGCTCCTGTTTCGCGGCGATGCCACGTCGTACGAATTCAACCACGGCCTGCGAAGACTGGCAATCCCAAATACCTGGATATCATGTCAGCGTGTTTCCTCACGAAGTGGAGGACGAATACTTACCATCACAAGCCACAACCAGGAATTCATCATCGTCAGATATATCGTGCACTGTAACATCAGGGTACGCAGTCACAATCTGCTGCTCTGGAGCAAGTTCGGCGCTCTTCTTAAATTCGAAGTCACCAATCGCTCTTGAAAGTGCAAGGTTTCCATTGACTCGGCCGAAGTCAACAAATCCTCCAGCAGCCGTGATTCTAGCCTTCTCCCCTAAAAGTCTGTGAGTACTTGCTCTAATGATCCGAGATGAGCAATCTAATACCTTCATTCTGTGGCTTATGGTCGAAGGAAAGTGGCTTTGCTCGGCCCTTGACACCGAGAACAGTTCGAGAATCACCGGCATTGCCCTAAGCGCATCTAATCAGCACTTGCACTCAACACTAATACATTTTAAACTTACGACGAAAATTTTCTTTGATGAAAGAATCGCAACGGTAGCAGTGCAACCGGAAACCTCTTCTTCGAACCGTGGGTCTGGAACACACATTAGCTTCCGTTCCGTCATGTATAAAATAATCACGCTAACCGTTCAGGATAGCTCGATCAGTGGCTAAGAATCCATCCTTCAGCGCCTGTTCGATATCACCCTTTTTGAAGGCTTCCTGCTTAGCGACGATTTGGTGTATATTTTCGCCCGCAAATATTGCCACTCTATCGCCTCCATGTCCATCATAAACACCGAAAAACGACAGTCTATCTTCCGCGCTGGCAGGCTTTACTGACTCATCGGAGCTTGATTGTAGATCCAAAATCGTAGCATGTGCGTCTTCCATACTAATACGCCATCCTTGCATAGATGATACACCATATATCATCCGCTCGTCACCACCAGAAGCCGAATGCTACAGGTATAATGTGTCAGCGGGAGCAAAACTGTAGCACAAAGGCATAGGTTGAAGAGAAAATAGCGATAGTTCGTGCACTATCATGCGCCACTGGGTCGAATGCAGCACATTGTACATCTCCATCTACGCCAGCACCTAATTCAAGCTCCTTCACTGTGTAAAGCACAGGCAGCTCTGATCGCGGGGGCCCGCGCTGGCAAGGCAGGCGACACACGAGTCCAACAAAAGATTCATCTTACCTTCTCCACGACTGGCTCCGACAATGTCTGACCCATCTTCAAGTTTCCCTTGTATGCTCAGTCTTGGATCAACAACGTTGATTCCTGGTCGTCCTCGAATCTCGCGTTCGAAGATGCGCGGGAAAGAGTGAAGTGCGGGGTCGGTCGTGAGGGAGGAAGGCTCTGATGATGGTAAACAGCTATATGTCCATGTGTATCTCTTACGACGAATAAGTTGAGTTTTGTAATTATGGGAGGGTAACTCGAGAGGGTCGCGTGTGTTGATGAGGAAAGGTCGAATGACGATTTATCTGTGAGTTGCGGGCTGCCCAGGTGGCTTGGTTTCCTCGCTACCAATGGCTTATGTAATCACGACTAGGGGCATGAAGTGATTCTCTCTGTTCATTTCTTCTCTTTACAATCACATGGAAGACTTGAGTTTGTGGATGGGAATGTACATTAGGGTTATGGACGAGGAATGCCCCCGGGGCGAAGCTTCAGTACCAGATGCAGGATTTCCATTGTGCCATGCCGGATGTTACACGACGCTGCGAGACCTCAGAACAGCAGAGTCCTGGAGTGACAATACATGGCAGGCCGTATTGCACGATATGCTTCTGCTACAATTCGCACGATGCGGTTTTACCTTCTTCCAATGCCCGGACTCGCCATAGGGACCGTTTTCTCAGAAGTGGGATGTCCAGGCTGACCTCGAGTCGCCATCAAGAAAGCTCCAACAACTTCTCACAAAACCCTCGTTTCTGCCAAATCGGGCAATTGTTCTGCCTGGTCTCACCAACATGGCTGGAATGGCAAGTTCGCATTGGCTATTGACCGGAAGAGCTGCAATGTGCACTGTGCAGAGCAAGGCCAGAGTTTCATCTCGCATGGCTTGAGAGGGGCACTTCGCTGCGTCATTTAAGGGTCATTGCCAACCTTGTAGTCCTAAGCTTTCGGAAAACATTTGCAGTCTGGGGAAATTTAACCACCAACGTCTGAATACTCGGGCAGGTAGTGCACTATAGTATTCCACATACTGATTAGATGATCTGATAAGTATCCGTCATTTAGAACACCAGAAGGTATTCACGTAGGACTGCTCCAGACGGCCATCTTTCAAGTCAAGATATTGCAGCTAAATATAGAACGGAAAATCGTCTCTCAAATGTTACAATGACGTCTTCTTCTAGATTGACCGACGATCCTGATGATCATTCGTCTAAAATGGACTTCGAAGACTCAAGTACGAAAAGATTGTTCTGGACTTCTACAGCTGGTGCTAAGGGAGGCACACGGGGCCAATTCGATTGTCATTTTGTAATGACCTGCTATAATCGAGGAATATCAATTACCTAGGTATTCGCTTCAACCCCCTAAACATTCACTGGAACAGAACCTCCGGAGAACCACTCGTGAATCCACTGCTAGGCTTTGTATAAGTCAACGCCAGGCTGTGCTGCAAATTCCCTGGTCTCTCAAGAGTTGAATGAAGCTATGTCTACTTGATGAATAGCACAACCACCCTGTGTCTTCTGTAGCGAAGAAGTCGAGCTGTTTTCATCAGGATCACAAGCACTTGGCGAACCCATGATCAGTGTGGATCTTTCCAGGATAAATGGCAGATTCGTGGGTGTCTGAAGCGACATATAGGTGTCATCGGAATAAGCATGATATTCACCTCCATTGATGGGTTAGAAAATATTTACCTGGGTTGTGCTACTGACAAGAAACGGCCTTACGGCAGAGTAATGATACGCTACTCAAATCCCTCTAATTACTCGATTTGTTTGAGTGAACATATAATATTTGTCTCCATGTAAAGGGCTAAATACACATGATAGAACAGGAGAGGTATGCAATCTATCGGTGAGACATTCCAATCTACGAAATACGAAATATGGTATTATACCGATTTTGAACTGCCTTTCTCTCACAGATGAACTAAGTGCTGTTTCTGCAATGGGTGTTCTCAATGTTCCTTCTGCGGCTGTATTTCAGTGCTTGACACTTGTTGTCCTAATTTATTTCCACATAATTTCCATACGCAGGATCAAGATGCGAACCATGGTACTGCTTATTCTATTTGCTGAAATGGTCATAATATCGAAACCATTTTGAGTAAATATTTGGTTTCTCTAGCATTATTGTAGTAAACGTTCGCCTTGATCCCTCTCTCGTCCAATGTTCTGCTATTTTCGCCTTCGGCTCCTTCCCCAACCTCGTTAGCTTGCACAATTCAATCCACTTGGGCATAATAATAGGACAGTTTTCCTGAAATTATCTAAAGGCAAGTTTCCAAGCTGTCGTCCATCGGATTTGATCACATCCATCTTGTCAAAAATGAATATTAATCACATATGTTAATTTAGACAAAGATTAAGTATCAGCAGCCAAAAGTGAATAAAAAAGTGGAGTGATTTGTCTCTTAGTTTTTTATATCCTTTTACAATCGGCAAATATAACAACTATCTCGAAGCTCGAGGCTATGTGGTGTGGAGTTGGACGGGTAAAGCTCGGAACAGAAATTTTGTAGCTGTATATAATTAAAAAAACAGAATACGGACCAATCAATCAGCCCGCCCGGCTAGCTCAATCGGTAGAGCGTGAGACTCTTAAGTCTGGTGCAAAATAGCAGAATTCGTGATCTCAAGGTTGCGGGTTCGACCCCCGCGTTGGGCTCAATCCCCGACAATATTCTTTTTTGAAGATTTTTTAGGGGGTTACATTTTTATCTTCCTACACATTACCTAGTCGCTCTGTGCATTAGCTACCTACCTAGGCAGGTAAATGCTTAAGGGGCTGAAATTTCTTCTTTTTGGCGGTTATAGGCTAACCGAGGCTTGGCATTGAATTAGAAGTCTTTAGAGGAAGGGCCTGCGGCGGACAAAAGCTTTTTGTTTCTCAAATTAAACAATGCGGAATCTATGATCTCATTCCGTAATCTCATATTGGGAAAGCAGGTGTTGCAGAATACAGCTTCGCTACATTGCAGTATGCTTATATCCTCACCCATTACAAACGACCTAAAACTTTTGCCGATGACGATCGTATCATTAGTCAAAACCTATTTTATTGTAACTTTGTTTTGAAGGCTTTCGTATTGAACTCGAGGATGTAAATCATATAACACCCGTACCCTTTACAAATCTAAATATTTACTTGCCGTCTCCTCTAGATATACGCACTCCAATCTGGACTACCACTACGTTGCGTTGTACTAGCCCCCTCCACGCGACCTCTCACACTGCCCTTCACATCACCCCTTCTCGCATCAACACTGACAGGCCGTTTCCCCAATGAACTCATAACCCTCATTTCTCCTTCCTTTCCCCTGCCTCTAGAGCTTTCTTCCTCCAGGCCAATCTTGCCAATTCTCATACCCTCTTCGACAACCAACGGTCTTCCTTTCCAGCCCATCCTCGCAGTTAAAGGCCTCTCCCCGTCGTCCTCATTTTCTTGAGGCGCATCCTCAGGACTAGGATAGTGTGTCTCCCAGCTTCCTTCACTACCCTCACCATTCTCAAACTCCTCGAACCCATGAAGGCCGTGTGTACCTAATTCCGGTGCATCATCTTCAGCTAAGATTGACGTAGTTGCAGAGTCAAATCTGCTATCTCTACTTTCCATGCTTCCCCGGGTCCTGCTTCTTCTCAGCTGCCCCTGGATGAAGCTTCTCAACTGCCGCGTACCTTCGCGAGCAAGACCATAGGAGATTCCGAAAGAGTCGCGTTCTACTTGATCTTCTAAGTTCATGCCTTGGAAACCGGTAAAGACACCGCCTTCCTCGGATACGGTGGGAGAGTCAGCGTAAGAGGTTCGTTTTCTCATCGAACTCTTCCGTCTCTGAGAACCCATGACCGAACCACCACCAAAAAAGGGACTTGAACCGACGCGCCGGCTTACAGGTCGTGAATTTCGGGAAGATACCGGAGAGCAAATCGAAGGACTCTTGGTGACAGCTCGTACAGTCATTCGCCGTGGTCGAAAAGGAGCTTCAGGGTATAATTCTGAATACGAAGATGGGGCAGAAATGTTACTTAGGGGCCTGCTATTTACTTCATTGGTGGCTACCGTGAGCCAAGTTCTTGAGTTTCGAGCCAAACTGGGTCGGCTCCTGTGTCGTGAACTGGAGTTGATCGACCCATGACCGATACTTCGACGTTTGGTGGACTTGATGGAGTGCATTGAGCCCGAGCCTCGAACGCCATGAGGCATGCCACTCCTTCGCCGGCGCTCGAATCCTGCCACATGTCGCGAACCCCTCCTCGTGATCGAGCGATAATTGTTTGTGCCTTCCGGTATATACTCAATGTCCGGTTGTTCCAGAATAGGGCTTTTTCCGAGTACTGAAAAATTGTCCAGTGGTGTTAACGAGAAATCACTATCGTTTAGGCCTAGAATGCTCGGCTCTTCCCTTGTAGTGGAAGCCAGTGGAGATGAATTGGGGATAATCATAACATTGGGCATATCCCTTATATCCCCAACAGTCTTTGCATCAAGAACCCGCGCAGATCTTCGGGTGTGTCCTTTCCGTGAGTAGTTCGAATAGGTTCGCGTTATTCGGTGAGAAGATAACGTCTGAGATGACTGTGTGCCAAGGACATTACTGCTTTGGGTAGATCTCCAACTCGAGTCCTTTGATGTTTTGGAAAGGGCATTCTCCGAATAAGAACGCACTCTTCCGCCTGTATTGCCATTCAGGGCATCCTGTGATGCCGCGTGAGCGAAAATTTGCGATCTGCGTTCCACCCCATCACCTGATACTGTCTGAGATCTTCGCATAGCTTTGTCTTGTGGTACGATTGCTGTAGATGGGTGAGGCTTTGAGAATCGCCGCTCGTTTGTCGTTAAGCCATGGGTGAAAGTGGTATAAGCGAAAGTTGAGGTATCAAGCTCCAATGTTGGTGGCTTTGCTACCGGAGGAGGTAGCACAATTTCTTCCACACTAGAATGGCATTCAATAGGTATTGATATCTCGGATTTTGACGGGCTTTTTGGGCGGTTCCGTTTGTCTCGACGTCGTTTGCGGTAGCAAAACAGTGCCAACAGCAGCGCCAAGAGCGCGCAAACGATCGGTATGACTACCGCAAGAATGGCTTTGTTGCTTGGCCTACGACTAGCACTTGCTCCCGATTGTGACCCTGGAGCTGAAGGGTGTTCTTGGGTTGACGTTGACGTTGGCTGACTTGATGTTGTACTTGATGGAGAGAATGGTTGACTGGCAGCCTGCACGGTAAACGGGAACACTTGTGTTTCACTGAGTTTAGTTGATCGTGAGGTCGCGGTCAATGTAATCTCGATATCCCCCGAATTTGCGGAGGAGGGTATGTCACCTCGCAGTTCCAGGGCTGTGCTATCTAATGAAACCCAAGACTTCGTAGGTATAGCACCAATATCAAGATCTACATCTGCAGGATTGTTTAGATACATGCTCAAATTATACTTGAAGGTCGATCCAATTGTCCCATTGAGAGTGGGGATCTTTTTGTTGAAAATCGGGTTGCTCGGTTGAAGAAATATGGTCGCATTCGCTGTATCCCCGTATATGTCTAGCGCAGTGACTGTCAGATTTCGGGTTATGGTATCTGAAGGCGGTACACCGGACAGCACGAGGGTTTTATTGTCAAATGTTAACCATTGCGGGGTGTCAACAGAGATGCTGACAATGGATGATGAGTTGGCAACGCGTTCATCTATCTCGATATTTTCTTTGAGACCATTGAATACGATCTCGTTGCCTGCTGTAGTATTTATGGTCATCAGTGGCCTCTTGAAAGACAACTGATGAACCCCAACTTCGATATTAAAGTCCAATGCGGCACCCTCAAATCCTTCAACGTCTGAAGCGATTAGTTTGATCCCAAAGGTCTGTGGAGGCTGGATGAGTGATGCATAATCAGGTGTCTGGCCATTGAATGTCAAGGAGGCGCCGTCGAATTTTATCCAGGATGGCATAGGCGTGTGCTCGTCTGTGACTGCATAATAACTCAAGCCTGTGTTGTTGCCGCCAATAGCAAATGTGCTAGGATTGAAGGCGAATTCGAAAGGTGTCGATGGATGGAATGTCAACGTCGACGGAGCTGAAAATCTTCCAAAAGTGGAGAGTTGTTCGGGGGTTGGTACGTCAATCGTTGGTGGAGGGTTCCTTGATACAATGATCGTCGAGTTCATAGTAGAAGACCCAGTTTTATCTTTAGCGGTTATCCCAACAAGCACTCCTGTGACTGTCTCCTGCCCAATATCCTCCACAGAAGGAGTGCCAAACAAGGTGCGCGTTGAGCCATCCAGTGTCAGCCATCTAGGGCCGTTGGAAAGAGTGTAAGTAATCGAAGAAGTGGAGGAGAATGTCGATTTTGGATAGGTATAGGAGAAGGGTTGCGAAACTCGAGCAATGGTCGGTACTTGTGCGTTGAGAGGGAAATCAATAGTAGGCACTGCTATCGCAACGGATGCTATCAATGCAAAGAGAATGCTTTGAGTGAAAGCCATCTTGTGGAAACGTGGAGTATATTGTCACAAAGCTGATGCCAAATCCGGCGACGCTCGAGGCAGATAAGGACACTTCCAGTAGGATCACAAGAACAACATGATATGAAAAACCTCATGCAGATGTATAACAAACTTTCCAAAATCAAACGCGAAAGAGACTGGGTAGCACAGAAGGCTAGATAGGCTCCAAAATCCTAAGCGGAGGCGGGGATAAGGGGTAACCCGCCTATCATTGTATATCGCCTTGCTTGAGGAATTGAAGAAATAGTGCGCGGTAAGGGATCGACAGGATTTCTTGCTCCAGCCTCGCAATGGCATATGGATAACAGGTAACTTTACTGAGATTTTTTTTTATGAAGCCATTCGCATACCACGACCCAACCTCCATTTTTCATGGCGCCCGAAGCCGATCTGAGACATGTTGCCGCGGCCATAAAGTTGAAGAATTCTCAAGCACGATATGGATGCGCCGACGTCAGCTGGAGAGGGCTAACAGAAAAAGCATAAGTTGAACAGCAAGTATTGTGTGATCCACATCAACAGCTCTTATTATCCTCACAGCCCTTATGAGAGGGATGCAAAAACGTCCCAGCGAGGGGGTGCTCCAAACTTCGATCGTGAAAATAAGCGAGTCGGTAAGGGGTAAGGATAAAAGAAGTAGAAGGATTTTTCAACCTGTAAATTACCACATGAACCCACAACATTGAGTCATCATCTGAGAGTGCTTCCAACAGGCCAACATGAGGTCGGTCCGAATCGTATGCCGATACGTATGAAGGACGATTGCGGTCGTAATATACCCCCTAAACACTTACTCATCACTTGCCAGATTCACTCCCAACAACAAAGCAGGCTCATCAACTTTATGATGTTCGTAACTTAGAACACCCACCGCTCCAGGCTCTAGCACTATCCAATAAATTAGTATATGTTTTTCTTGTTCGCTCCGGAGCCGAGAGCCGTGTCTAAAGATGAAACATGCTCCCGACCACTAGGAACCAGAATCCGAAGGGAGGAACAAAGGAAAAGTACGGACTCATTGGCAGCGCCTGGGCAAGTGGAAATCCAATCCAACGCTTTGCGAAAGCTCGCAAAATATGCCCATGCGCTATGAGGATCACATCAACTCCCTTCTCCCCATGCATATATGGCCCCTGCATTTCCTTGATTTGGGCTATGATCCTGTCGAGCCGTGTCGATACCTCTATAGGTAACTCTCCGTCCTCGCAACCGTCGGTCCAAATGTTCCACGGCCGCTCTTGATCCAAACCTCTTTCTTTTCGAGCCGATCGAATCTGGGCAGTCAAAAGTCCTTCATAGGCTCCGTATTCCCATTCCCGGATATCCTCTGTCGTCTCGCCCTTCCCTCGTAGCTGTTGCTGAGCGGCATCATCGAAAAGAATCTCATATGTCCGTTGGGCTCTTGTTCGAGGGCTGATGAATAAATGAGCAATCTTAGTCGGGTCGATGACTTTGCCAGGTCCGACTACGACTGATGCCGAGTTCGCGACCTGAGCCTCTCCATTGGCCGTCAATGGGATATCAGTTCGTCCTGTGTATCGACCAGACATGGTCCATTCTGTTTCACCTGCAAGAGTGTTAAGCCCTGGTAGGATAGAATAGCTGCAAAAACGGTGGAGAACGGATTCGAAACATACCATGGCGTATGAGAAACACACGTGGTGTGCCAGCGTCCTTGTCAGGCATCCTAAGATATAGTTCAATTGGATTGATGGATTCGGTGAGCGTGCTGGCGAAGACAATGTCAATGCTTTTAAACAAGAACCGTACTCGTACCGTAGAATTCTCGGCTGACTTTCCTAGTCTCGGCAGTTGACCGAGAATAGCACACTAGCTGCTGTTATAGGGCTGTCGATAAGGATAAGCTAATTTCATCGTGTTCGACCACTTCAACCTCACATCTTCACCTTAATGGATGCGGATTGCCTAACTCCTTACCCTAAGGTCCGTCATGATACATCCGGCTTTAAAGGTTTTCTTCGACGACAGGCAAACAATGTATACCTGGGTACCTTGCCCTTCCCGTTGCTTCTCCAATATCTTCGCTTCAGCCAACGAGAAGTCGCTGAGCAATCCTGTCCACCCGCATAATCTGAAGATCGGATCCTCGTGCTAGAGGTTAAAGACTCTGTGTAACCGCTCGATCAACTGTGACGGTCTCCGGGTACTTTACTGCAATGTATCTAGGTACCCAGGTAGGTTCTAGCTAAAGGAACTAGAAGATAGGTTCACAGATTCTTCCCATCAAGAAGAACTGACAATAGTATTTCTACCGCTCTGCGACTTCTTTCCAATCCTTTTTTCCTTTCTTCCACTTTGAATCGTCCACGAGAATTTATAGGATATCGCCGTGATACCCGCCCATGCGGCTCCCGTGAGGTGCCGCCTGCACTACCAACTGTAGCTCCCGCCTCGTTTTAATGCCAGTCGACATTGTCATCGTCCATTACCAGGTCGTTTCTCTACGCAATCTCAAGAGAATCGCAGTTTGCAGCATTCGTTGCGTCGCTATTCAGTGGCATCCGAGGTGATATTCTGCGCTCTATTATGAGAATCCTAGAGGGACTCGACAGTGGCCTAAATCTTTACGGGCTCCCTCATATTCTCCAACCTCCAACCCGACGTCTCCTCGCCTACCAAGCTGATCCCAAATTTCAACATTCCAGATCTCGAGCGTGATTAGAAATTTTGAATTAGTCACCTTTTTATCACAACCCACCTGCAATGAACAGATTGCATACCACAGTGCCAAATCAACTCCTGACAACTCCACACCTCGACAATATGGAGATCTCGGGCGTTATCACGAGTGAGCAAGGAACAAAAGACTCTCATGTGAGTCATGCTCAGCTAAATGCAATCATCGGTACGTATATCTTGTGAGTTCTCTGCGGCAACTGAGGCACCCGAGGCAAATGTGAATTCTCCCAAGTGGATCCTAACATGGAAGGATTCATTGTGCCACCTTCGAGGTCTTTTGGATCCAACTGGACAACCATCTTTACTTGAAGCATATATGCTGATATTTGAAAAAAAAAAAACAGAACGATCTCCAACAGTCATGATGGACCAGCTTCCTGTTTCCGCTGTGGGCAGAATCAGCCTCACAAATGAATGCTGGATTTGCGCTGAGATCAAGTTTACTGAAGAGTTTCCTGCACAGAAGTGTCGTAAATGTTCACAAAGCATATATTGTAACAGCTGTCTCAAGGACTGGTTTCTCAATGCTTGCAAGGACGAGTCCAAAATGCCACCGAGATGTTGTTCTGTCATCTCATTGGCTTCGGTCGCACATCTCTTAAGTAACGCGGAGGTAGGCGAATCCTCTTGTTGTGTCGAAATTTAGCTGACACCATAAAAGGCTGATTTATACAAAGCCAAATTTGAAGAATGGAACACGCCTAATCGTTTGTATTGCCCAATCCCATCATGCTCGACTTTTATATCAACAAGACTATATGAGGAAAAGCCAGAACCAATAGTTACAAACATCGCTGGGGATCATTCTGGCGTTGAGCTATCGGAAACTTTCGCCGCCTTCGAGGAACCAGTGAAACTAGAACCAAAGTTCCGAAGTCAAGTAGCGTGTCCAACATGCCATATTTCCGTTTGCACTCAATGCCGAGAACAAGCACATGTTGGCGAATGTAGCGGGAATGATATCCAACCAGATTTAGAACATCTGCTTCAGAGATGGAACATTAAACGATGCCCGAAATGCAGAACCGGAATACGAAAGGTTTACGGCTGTTCTCATGTTGAGTGTAGATGTGGTGCTCACTTTTGCTACGGGTGTCTTCAATCCATCATTCTATGCGGTGGCTGTGAAAATGAAGATGAAGATGCGTCGGAGATTTCCGACGAGGACGATCTGGATGGCATGGCCAATTTCACGGATGGTGACGGTCTAGATTTTGGCGAGGAGCCTGAAGACCCTCGTGATGACGGTTGGACGTGTGAGCATGACTGGAAACCAGTCATCAAAAGTTCAACCTCTGTTGAGTCTCGAATATCCGAATGCTATCGTTGTTTTCGTCCCGTTGACTCCCAGGAGCCTCTCAAGAAGAGCCCACACGAAGGGGATGAAGTTGGCAAGCGTTCGTACATGAGCTATGGTGACGAAGCGTGGAAATGTTTCTGCGGGAAAACCACCTGCCGGAATTGCCCCTTAGCAGCTCCAAGGTGGAGAGTTGCAGATGTCGAGCGCAAATGGACCTGTGACTGCGGGATTACCTGCGCCTTCTGCATCAGATTGGATGCTCACGCAAAATTCGAAGAGGAAGGTAAAGCCGGTTGGGAATGTGAATGCGGGACAATTATCTGTGGTGCTTGCAGGGACTTAACATGAAGACCAGTGATGGATCAACTGGTTCATTAAGGAAAGCCAGGTACCCGTCGATGGAAGTTCTTGCTCTATGCAGGTCACACATAATGAAAACCAAGGAATAGGGGAACGGATAGTGGCTGATTGGTATCCACTTCGGGCCACAACAGATACCACGGTGATATTTGGCGAGGCTTTTAGTATGAAGAGTCTAAAAACTCAAGCTAGCTAATGTTGAACAAGAACTGCAAGAATCTACTACTCTGTACTATGCTGATTTCCAAAAGTATATGCAATCTCCATGTTTAGCAGTTCGGGTGATAACGTAGATATGAGCAGAGTCTGAAGCCTTTAAGGTTACAATTTCAGCTCTGACTTTCAAAGATGTGCGGGTCCGTACTCATACATTGGAGTGCCCAGATGTCTCTCAAAGTCAAGTAGACAAGATAAGTGGACTGCGACGTTGACTCCCTGAATTGTCTCCTTCATACTGATGTTCTAAGTATGGATTTGTGGTAGCTAGTCATTGACGCGTGTGAGTAAAAAGCATCAGGACCACCGTGAGAATTGGGAAAATAGATACCAGGAGTTTGACGTTGAGATTCAGTATAACAGCCGAAAGAGAGTAAAATAAGACAACTAAAGATCCAGCTCTTAATGCTGAGATATAGCACGTTGTATCGGTCTTCGTGTTAGTACAAAGGTCTAAATATGATATAATACACCTAGATACACATATATACAACCTTCAGAAGGCAATTAAGATATTTCTTCGGCCAGATAGCTCAATAGTTTATCATGATCGAGCGCCTCCGTCTGTCTTACACCCCGATTTCGATGGCGACGACGAGTGCGGCCGGCATGTGACTGAGCGTCTTCGTTTCCCTCAGACTCGCCCGGCCAACGTTTCTTGTCGCGATTAGCGCGTCGATTGTTTGATTGAGAGAGAATTTCTTCATCAGACAACACTTCTCGAACCTCCATATCCCCAATGCCACATTTTCCAACATCTATCTCCTCAATGGATGTGGATGCATGCTCCTTTCTCACTTGCAGCGGTGCGACTACCCGCGGTGTTTCGACTTGTTCCTTCATCTTCATAAGCTGGTACCTCCTAATGCCCTCCATAAGGGCACGTCTATCGGCAACTTGTCTGAACACCCTCTGTGTGACCTTCTCAAATGAGAATCCTGCCCGTTCCGTTCGCTGGATTGCACCCACAACGGCTTCAGCATCTTGCAAGCGGGAATACCCTTTAAGCAAGACTCCCCAGTTCATTGTCGTTGGTTGAATCCCTCGCTCCCGCATCATGCTGATGACTTTTTCTGCGGCACGTGGCTGACGATGATCCATGAAAATGTTCGTAAGGATGCCCCAAGTTGCCGAAGTCGGTCTTGGTACAAGCGATTCATTATCTCTGAGAGACTTCCCAACCAGGCTGTTACCCGTACCATTGGTAGGCTCTGCTTTAGGTGGACTCATTTCACCAAGGATTTGAAGACAAAGTGGTATGTTAGACGCGTGCCGTCCCAGAGCCATGATGATGGTGTTGTATAAATGTAGAGCATAGCTGCCACTACTTGCTCTTGTAAGCTGCATAACTAGGGGATCCTGGGACTTCATCAGATTTTTGAGATGCTCGTAAAACCATTTCGCGGTGTCTGCGTCGTCGTAGTCTCTTAGTAGAGTACTGATCATAACCACAAGAACCGCGTTATCTGGGTCGACTTTAAGAAGACGTTTCTCATCGATGTTATCGGCGGACCGGATATTCTCGGGTGTGAGTGGAGCCTCATCAACAAATTCAGGATATCTCTCAGAGAGACCGGGTAATAGATGGGCCAGAGGCTTGAAATAGAAGTACTTGCAGTAGTATGGCAACATCACCTCGAAAGGCGTTTGCAAGCCCCGAGGCTCTTCGTTTGTTTCAGCGGCGCGTCGTTTCTCCCGGGAATTCTTTTCGTGTACTACCAAAGACGTCAGGTGTAAGATGTCCGTGGTCATAATTGCAGACTCAACGCCTTTCTGCTGTGCAAAGCCAAGAATTTCGGATACACAAGCTGTGTCCCTGCGTAGTTTTGCGTCGTTCAAAAGAGTAGACATAGTATAAGCATCTGGCTCAGGCCCGTTTTCTTTCATCAATCTGAATATCTCCCAACTCGCGGCCGTGTCTCCTGACTTCAAGAGTTTCAAGAGCAAGGTATTGTAAGTGATGATGTTGGGTGTCAAGCCACACTTCAACATGTACTCAAACTTCTCGGAATGACTATACTCCATCTCTTGGTGGGAATGCATTAATACTGTAGTACAAAGGCTCTGAAGGGAGTGATCGTTGAAGTTGGGCTGCATGTCTCCGATACGCCTGAATATATCATAGGCGAGGTTTCCATGATCGTCGTTTATTGCCAGTTTTGCGACAAAGTGGGACAACGTATCAACCGTCAGGGGGTTGCCTATCTGATTTAGAAAGTGGTAAACGTCCGCAATATAACCAGGTTCCGCCAAATTTTGTATTAACAAAAATATGGAATACTGCGATAGCTGAACGTAAGCGAATGGGCCCTGCAGAAGTAACCCTTTGATCGCTCTGTACAAAACGAGAGCCGACATTTGGCTCTGCTCCGATGCTCGCAAGCCACTAAGATGATGAAAAACAACAAAGTCCACAGCGTCCGTCATTAAAGCGACGGGAGGATGGGGTGCGACCCAAGTGCCGCTCAAAAGTTTCATCAGTTGATGCGGAGAGTCCCTTGCCACCTTTATCAGGAGCGTGGGCCAGATTTGCTCTCGGTCGTATATATCAAGCTTTTTCCATCGAGCTAACAATCCGACTGATGTAGAAGACGTTTTCAGTAAATCCAGCAAAGTCGCAAGCTCTTCTTGGTGGGGTTCAGTATCGAAATTTGACGTGAGCAGATTGTCCAGGCTCCTATCAAATCTCATACATGATATCTCCTGATCTATCCCTTTGAAGCCCTTCGGGAGGGACTTAGCAACATATCGACGACCGCTCCTGCGGATTAGGTCTTTTTGAGCGGCTAATGTACGTTGACTGTTGCTGAATCTGAAAAAAAGCGACACATCGATGCTTCTGCCGGTTCTTTTCGGAGTTAATGGGAAGTTATATTGAGGGAATCGTGGTCTTGGCTTGTTCTTTCTGTAGGATATTTAGCATGTATTTGCAGAGAACAGAGAACAGAGAATGAGGACCTACCGAACGAGTTTCTCATGTAGGTTTGACCTGTACCGTGCCGGTCCTACGGCGGACGGTCGTCGAGGTTTAGACGGTGGCAGTATGGGAGCGAAGATAGGACTGTCGTTTTTAGCGAAGGCTTCCTCTCGCCCAGCTCTTCTCGGTCTGTTTCCATGACCTAGCTCCTCGGTCCTTGACTGGGAATGCTCAGGCTCAAGCCGCCCTTGATGCGATACGGTTTCTGATGTCGTGTAGTTTCGACTTCTGCCTCTGGCCGGCCATGGTTGAAAGACTCGAGGCGCTAAAAAAGGAAGTATAGGTAGATCGCAGATTGACCACCGTTTTATGCCAGTCCCAGGTCGTAACGACATCGACGTATGGGTTGAAATGCATCTAGTGAAAACCCATATTCTGGCTGCAAAGGAGTACGAACCGCGAACAAAATGTGTGCCCGTTGCGAAATATCTGACCGGGGTCGCGGCAAATTGAATCCTTGGCGCGATTTCCCGACAAGGCTGACGAGCCTCGACTAAATAATTTGATATCGAGCGCAACGTAGATCTGCACACATCACCCTTCAAAGACGGCTCTAGAAGTCACACAACTCAACTCCTCGGCCACCCCTAAGGTTCAACCTATTTCATTGATGTCGGCCACGCATGCGACTCTCGGCGCAGCAGCGGATGAGCGAAAAGCTCGATTGGCCAAGCTCAAGTCCCTTAAGCGCAAACAACCTGGCGATGAGATTGTGGCTCCAGAATCAACACGTTCACCATCACCCCCGGCGCCTGTTGACGTTACCAAACTTCACCTATCTGGACGAAACTATGATGCCGAAGCTAAAGGTCCAAAACTAGGGTTTGAGGCACCACCGACCTTAGCATTGGAAAAAACCCTGGAGCAGCAGGCTAAGGAGGTCGAAGATGAGATCAGGAAACGAGCTGAAGAGGAGGAACAAGATGACAAAGGCGTAGATCTTTTTAAACTGCAGCCCAAAAAGCCGAATTGGGATTTAAAAAGAGACTTACAGAAGAAGCTCGATGTGTTGAATGTGCGCACCGAGAATGCTATTGCACGAATTGTCAGGGAAAGGATAGAGGGCGCTCAAAAAGCTGCGAAATCAAAATCCGGGGAGAATGTCATTGCTGCTAGTGAGGGCGGGGAAGAGATGGGCATGGATGGAATTGCTCTAGTCGAAGGTCTTAAATTGAGGGAAAAGGAGGAACAAGAAGACGAGCGGCGGGACAATGACGAGTTCGAAGTGTCATAGAGCACGGTGTTGGTCTCACGAGTATCACGAGAAGAAAAGGCCGGCGTTTGGCGTCCCCATGTTGGCTGCAAATAACAATCTTTGGACCGGGTATCGAATCATACTAGAAAAGGCTCCTCTCAGCAGCCTCGCTTCACACTTCATATCGTATAACGGTCGAAACATCCACGGAACTAAGCCGCAGTTCTCCGTAATGATTACCACCTAGACGTACCTCCTCAACCACTAGGTCATCTACCCATGTTCATAGACTGCGTCAATGCAAGCCTTTTGCTGAATGGACTTAAACTTCTCTGTCTCGCCGGGGCCTGCTCGTTTTTAAAATCGTTGCGTGGCGGTGGTTTACCAACAGTCCTTCCGGGCCCAGGCTCTTCTAGCTCATTTAATCTTCCACCGCGTCCTCTCCGTGGGCTCCTGCTCTCTGTAGTCCTGCCCCTCAATGGAGGGCTCACCTGCTGATATCGTCGCCGAGTACTTCGACTACTTCCTCGCTCTCTTGAGGGGCGTCTGTTTTCATACCGATTGTCTGAGACGTATGATCCAGTAGAGGAATATGAGTCTCTTCTTCTCTTCTTTTCGCGCTCGCTAGCAGTCCTTGTTGGTGTTGGCGAACGGGAAACATCCTTGTGTCTCTGACTTGGAGCTGCTCTGTCGTTTGGGCTGGGAGATCGTGTTACCTTCCTTTTCGCGGTGTAGGACCGGTGGGGAGAAGGAGATCTTGACATGTTCGTGGAGATTGTAGAAATGGATCTGGAGGACGTTGTAGAAACCGACCGACGTCTTTTAGCTAGGCCTGCAACACTTGGCTCCTCACTCTGACGATCCCTCTTACGCCCCCGTTCTAGCTCTGCTCTGGCAAGTTGTTCATCCGCAATACCCTTTCTGAAGATTAAGTTAGCTATGCACGAACGAGCCGTTTTACATCTACACCAAAGTAAAATAGACAAACGGAAAAGGGCCGGGACTCAAACGTGCAACAACTTAACTACAGAGAGAAGAAGACGTCAACATTGATAGACAAGTCTGCCATGGGGGTGGCTCTGAGCTGCGCAATCCTATGTAAATAGAATGCTTACTACTCTAGCCAAATTGACGGCGTATCGCATTCCTCTTGCTTTTGACCAAATGCATATGCGCCACCATGTAAACCATGATGCCAGACTTTAGGGGACTGCAAAGAATCAAGAATAGCTGGTTCTCTCCTTCAACTCCCAGTGATATAAGCCCAATACGAGGCATTCAGCGTTCGCAATAGCTGACGAAATAAAACGTACTTTCTTAACAGATCCTGGGGTATGTCGTTTGTCAGCTTCGGCATGAGCTTCGGATTCATCATCTGCTGCGTGCGCGACGGCCGAGATACGTAGGGCCGCTCTTGGGCAACTGCTTTACACTCGTAGGAGTAATGGCGTGTTACGGTCAGCCTCTTGCCTGAAGAATAGAGGGCAAGACCTATCTTTCTTTAGACATTTTTGACATGTTGTGCTTGCGCTTGCCTTTGAAGCGCCGCCAAAAGCAGGCCCTCGAGCATATCGATTCATGGTCGCACCAGAGAGCGTGTAGAGAGCGTGTCTTAAGGTACCCTGAGGCAGTCCGATTTTACAAAAATGTGTGTCGGGGAGAGCTGTTAAAAGCAGAACAGGTTCGTGTTTCTCTAAGTAAAAGGCAAAGCAAAGGCCCCTAGTGGCGCTATCGGGGGTATGAAATACTTAATAATTGAGAGGTTGATTAGTCCAGAATTGAAGTCCAAACGGACTTGGGGTTTCTGTCGGGTCTGCTTCCTGCATGTGGTACAGAACGGGCAAAACTTTAAACAAAGTGCCGAGAATTGAAAAGCGGCAGCAGTTATTTGAGCATTTAGTGTTACACAGACTCTTCGTTCAGCTTCTAGACTCCGAGTCATGAGAGATTTAAATACATCAGAATCCGTCATTTTCCTCCAGTATGTCTGAGAGATCTTCAGTTTGAAAATGCAATTGTTTGGCAGTGTTGACGTGGCTCTGCTAGTTCGAAGGTACAAGTATTGAAAGTCCTCCGTATGTGAGTGAAACAAAGTGTAGTTCTAGCGAACAGAATGGCGCCGCTTTGTCGCCCGTTATTAGAGCTTGCCTACCCCCCCACCCCCTGCCCGCGCTAGGACATCTGGCAGCCTTAAACAGGCGTGCGATTGCTGATTTTCAGAAAGACATCTCCAGCCCTCAGACATCGCTCTATCCGCATAACAGAGCAGATTCGAGGATGCTCTGAGTTTGTCAATTTTACCACACCACGCCTGTCGATTGTGCTGTCTACGATACGAAGACCTGGCCGATCTAAGTTCCTGCGCTACTGCCACACATTTGCCTTGCTCCGCCGTCGATCGATTGGGGTTGCACGGCTCGAAAACACAAATTGGCAGACTTCCGCCATTTCACCAAAGCGCCATCGGACTTATAACCGTTGTGCTCCCTCGACTGGTAATTCAACACTCCGAGTATCGCCAGGCTCTCTCATCGGCCATTAGACGAAGAACAACCCAACTTGTGAGCTACGACAATGACCAGATGTCACGTCTCTGCACCGGGCGCTCTTGTTAATCATTTCCCCTAATACGTCAGTTCGATTCTTCAGTCACTTTACGGGGCTGCGACCATATCGCTCTGATTGATTGGCATCCGACGCTCCTTCGAACAGCTCGTTCCCTCGCTGACCACATTTCAATATGGCTGCCGCTCCAATGGCCCCAGACACTTCCAGACTGTCCTTTGCAAAGGTACAAGACCCCTTTCCATACATTTCCCCTACGTACCTTAAGTACGATGCTGATTGATTTTCACTCATAAAGGTAGCTGCATCTGCCGGCAAAGAGAGTGTTGGGGGATTGGGCTCGTTTGCTAAAGTCGCAGCCTCTGGGCCCTCCAAAGCTTCAAAAAAGGAGAGCGTTTTATGTTTGGCTACGGATGACAGTTCTTGCGCCGATGGCTCGCCAAAGCGAGTTGCGCTCTCTGAGCCTACCGGTGTGAATCAAGGGAATAACACCTCAGCACGAGCAAAGATTGCTTCTAACGTCGACTCGGCACCTACACCTACCGTAGATACGAATCTTGCCGATGCTATAAAAGCCATGAATATCGATGAAGAACACAAATCGCCGATGCCAAGTTTAGTGGTAAATGGTTCAGGAGCGAGTTTGTTAAATGCGCGGAAAAGAGCAGAAGCCGGTGAACCCTTTTCAGATGACCTATTTCATCGTACCGATTCCGGTTCTGAACTTGGGACGAAACCCCCAAGCTTGGATGGGAAGAGCATTACGTCGGGAACGACATTTGCTCTGGATGAAAAGGAGTCTCTTCGTCCTGATGATAGTGCGAGCGTTAAAGCTGCGGAAGATGACGACACATTCTCTGCGATGGGATCAATAGTGGCAGGCTCGAGGATCGGATCTGAAGCAGCTGGCCGCGCGTATCGAGCTCAGGCGCAACTCTATGAAGGCGCTGACAGAAGAATGCAGCCGATGCCCGAACGGCAGAATCAAGGGATGGTAACCCCACAGAGTGGCTCGTCTGGACAGCAGACCACTGATGATGGGAAACTCAACAAGCCACTCGTTGGACAAACTGGCGCCCCTGACGCGTTTAATCTTTTTTACCGCCAGACACCAGATGAGAAATTGTTGGAAGCTCTAGAGTCTCCTAAAGACAGAATTTTCCTTCTTCGGCTGGAACAAGATTTACAAAAATTTGTTATTGATTCTAAGTAAGTCGCTGGATCCGAGAACTTCTGGAGGATATGGATATATTAGTCATCTTTTACCCTATCACTTGCTAACTATTCAACCAGGGAGCCTTTCATTGATCTACCGCCGTGTAATTCCTTTTGCCGAATGTTAACACATAAGCTGGCCGACTACTACCATATGACACACCAGGTCGACGCTGTGGCCGGGGCAGTGCGGATTTTCCGTACACCCTTTTGTAGACTACCACCGCCACTAACAAGTATATCTAACCCACCCACTTCCGGGAACACACCACCTCCAAATATACCGGCCATGAAGATAATGCGGAGAGGAGGGGAAGGTGAAGCTGGCACTGGTACCTCAAAGGCAACCTCAGAGACGGGTAGTGATGGGAAGGACAAATCTATCTCCGCCAAGGAAAAGTAAGACCTAGCTTTCGATGGAAGACATTGGTACTGACAGAATACAGATTATCTAGGGAAGAGAGAGAAGCTGCTTACAATAGGGCGCGGGAGCGAATATTTGGCAAGGACGAAAAACCTGGAGATGCTACTCCTGGTAAGTTAAATCCAAGCAATTGTGATCAACCCGTCATGTTCTGACCCAGATCCAGAAACTGAAGACGGTGTTGAGATGTCGAGATCCAGCTCTGTTTCCACCAAAGACCGACCTGGGCAGGGCAAAAAGGCCAAACCCATGAAGCAGCGCAGAGACGATTCCGAGAGCTTCGATGTTCGTTCACAGTACACGCCTTTCTTTCCTCAACCACAGATGCCGACGTGGACCCCAACACCTCAATTCTCGCCCATGGTACCTCAGCCATTCAATGGTATGGTCCAAGGTCCCTACCCAGGGAATGTCCCTCCCCAGTATACGGTGCCCAGCCCGCAATTCAATCCAAATCCTATCAGCAGCGGCAATATGCAGGTCTACAATACCATTCCACAGGTAATATCCCGTGATGTCCAAATCGGAACACCGACTAACATGAGTCAGCAGTATCAACAACACAATCAGTCAAGGTTTCAACCACACAGCGCGCCGATCACTGCATACGGCTCACCTGTTCAGTCGCCTCCCATGGCTCCACAACAATGGCAGCAACAGCAGCCGATGTACCAAACTACCTTCCAATCACAGCCGCCAATGCCTAGTAGAACCGGAAATACCATACCCTACGCATTTGGTCAATTACCTCCAACTGCAAATCCTGCGGACCCCAAAAGTCAACATCCAATACCGGGAAGCTTCAACCGCCACGCGTTTAACCCGAAAACTCAGTCATTTGTGCCAGGAAACGCTGGCCTTCCAATGCCTCAGCCAGTGTCTCATAACGGGTCTCCTCATCATGGGTCTCCTCATCACGGCTCTCCTCACCTATCGTATAACGCTTACACTCCGCCTCAGCAGTCATTTGGCAATGGTATGGGCTATGGTATGGCCCGGCAAGGTTCTAATAATTCTTTGCCATCATACCATGCCTCGCCACATATGGCTCATAGGTCAATGATGCACCAAAGTATGCAACAGCAACAAGGTATGCCTCACGGAATGATACCGAGCATTCCTCATAGCCTCCCGCCAGGTTTGCCACAGGTTATGCCTGGATTGTCACAGAATGGTCAATCCGGCCACCACCTTCCGAATTATGGTAATTCGTCGACGCTTCCTCCTAAGCCTCCTACGGGAGTTTAATTTTTATGGGTATGGCGTAAAATAGGAGTGGCGTATGGGGGAGCATTGGAGGAGTTTGGTGGAAAATTGTAGACACAGATACGTGCAAATGACAGCCTGATACATTACCAAGTAATACCGCCCTCGATAAGCGTGAACATTTCAAAGTACCTTGGGATTTGATTTACGCAGAGCGTCCTCTCATAATAGCAATCTCTACGAATGATTCTATTGCTAGACCGTAACGCCCGATATTTTCCCATCCTGTACAATGCAATCTGACGCACATCCAATCGGTATGGATTTGATCGAAAAAACACAAGTGACTCCTAAATTACTCTGCAGGCTCTCTTGGCTCTCTCTGTTGTCCCCCGCCTCGCCCTCCTCGCCCTCCACGCTTACCACCTCGCTGGCCCCCCCGATCTCCCTTCTCCGCGCCTTCACCTCCGCCGGTAGCAGCCAAAGCATCTGAGCCACCCATAGTAAGTGTAGCTGTGGCTAGTCTCTGAGACAAGTCGATCTGGGTGCGAATTGTGTTTGCCAAGTACGAAACTACAAGGACGTCTTGGATGTGGTTGTTAAAATCTCTCTCGATGTCTTCCGGGTCGACCTTTGGCGCCAAAGACAGAGCATTCATTAGGAATTGTCCTAGAGCATTTGAGGGCTCCCTTTCTTCGTCTAGCACAGAGCTGACGTATTCGGCAACTCGATCTAACAGGTCAATAGCTTGATCAACGGCCCGCTCCAATCCTTCAATGTCTGTCACCACAGGTGCCGCGCGGTTCTCGCTATCCTTCGCCCCAGAGATCAGCTCCAATCCGCTCTTCTCGGCCTCTCCGTAGCGAATATCGTAGGGCACAGGAATAAAAAGACAACTCTCAGAGGCCCTCTCAGCATTAACCCCAACCGGCGCACTGATGTAAGCCTTCGCCTCGATGCCCTTTCCTGCGTCTGTAGACACTGTTAGGTGAATAGCAGGATGCGGAAAAGTGCCTGTTTCGGGGCTCGCGAAGAAGTTCTGGATCAGAGCGCTGAAACTGTTGAGATCTAAACTTGTCGTATACCAGCCTAGCAGTACCTCTCGTGGATTTGCTTTGAGTTGCAGAGCTAACATGTTCTTCTGATACTCGACATCTACCTCCACTTGGTCTTCGTTTTCTGTATGTGGAATTGCAAAACAGTTTCGTACTTCGGCTTCCATGCCATCTTCTGAACGTACACCCAAAAGTGCACCAATAACTCGTGTGGATTGCGTGTCACGAATGTCCCTTCGTATCGCGTGGTCAAGGATAGAAAATATGGCCTAGAATTCATCAGCTTGTTTGCCTCGTATAAGAAAATAAAGAACTAACCTGTGGTTGGATTATGACATTCACAGGTGCGGTAGTGGGTTGCACGCCAATCGCTGCGGGCGCAAGAGGCCGCGCGAGATGGATGAAGGAGGGGAGATCGACTGCCATGCTGGACAAGATTTTACGAGATCGAGCCGTATAGGAGAGAGAACTTTGTAGGTTGGAGAGGTTGCGATATGTTACTAGTCAAATTTTCCTGATCGACCTCGTCGTCGATTATTCTTGGATTGGTGGTTTGGATTTGTGGGTGGTGTAATTTAGCTGGCCCGTGCGTTGGCGACTGCAAATGCTTTTACCACAGGAGATCTAGCTACTAGTTATGCTGACCCTATAAAAGTTTCTGCTAAGATTAATCATTCCACAATTTTGAACACAAGAGTCTTTGAACCGGTTATCGACCTTCTAATCTTTCATGGTTTGCACATTAAAACTTTTCGTAATTGCCCCTCCAGAAAGATCCCTGCCTTCAAACCTCCACGCTAAGATAAGCTTCTTATCTGCTGCTCCCTCGTATTTTTTTCAAGATGAATGCGCCTGGCGGCTATTCTGTTCTGATTTTGAGCCGCTGCTTGATGATACATAGCAGCCTTCAACCATGGCGTTTCAAGGATCTAAGGGAAGAGGTAGAGGCGGAATCAGAAGAGGCAATTCTCGAGGGGGAGGGACTTCATCTCGCGGACGTGGAGGCGCGTCGAGAGGTAGTGGTGGATTTAGAGGGAGGGGAGGAAAAAGACCAATCTTTGACAGCGCAAGATTGGCTCAGCAGAAAGAGGAGTATGCTTATATCCTGTATCTTCAAGGGCATAATTGACTTCTGCATAGAGAGAATGATAAGGTATCGCCCTCTGATAGCGAATCAGCAAGCGAAGAACCTGCAAGTGAAGAAGAATCATCCTCGGAAGATGATGATGAGACTTTGCCAACAGCGCGCCCGTACTCTGTATTATTACAGAGTCTAACAGCGAATATTCAGCCACACGCCAAAAGAAGAAAGCTGGACCACCCTCAGGAACCAAAGATAGACACTGACAATGCAGCACAGCCGAAAATTGATCAAGAACTTGAGGGCGAATCAGATTTAGATGAGGAGAAAGAAGATCTTGACACAGCTATTGATGATGTTTTGGAAGAAGGGGATAGCGACGAAGAAGACCGCGATGATCCTTTCGACGCCCATTTCGCAGACCCAGAGGAAAACATATTGAAAGCAAGGATGCAGTCGTTACAGAATGGGAGCTGGACACAAGAAAGGCTTAGCACAGCAGCGGGGAAAATGATAGTTTCAATCCCCAATTCTTCTGGTCCCGTACTTCCCTCGGAAGTATCTACAGTCTCTGGGCCTGGGGAGCTTAAATTGAAGCAAAAGTTGGCCAAGGTTATTTCAAAACAGCGGCCGAAATTTGACGACTTGGAAAAGCACCTGGCAGCGTGTATGTTCAGTTACAAAGACCTCACGTTTTGTGAGAGGTCTCCCTCGAATGCAGAGAGGTTACGTAGGATGGCTTGTTTGCATGCTGTGAACCATATTTTTAAGTAAGCTTTTCCGACGATGATAGTTACAGGTAAGAAATACTAAAAGTGCTAGGACTCGCGACCATGTCATCAAAAATAATTCAAAGTTGACAAAAGAGGGCAGTGAAAATCTTGACTTACGAGATCAGGGGTTCACAAGGCCTAAAGTATTGATGATACTACCAACGCGGGAGTCATGTTGCCGGATGGTCAATATGATCACTTTACTGTGCGAGCCCGATCAGCAAGAAAACCGGAAGCGATTTGAGGACTCTTACTCTGAAAAGGCGGAAGCTTTCTCTGATGACAAGCCCGCCGATTTCCGAGAGCTCTTTGCTGGAAATGATGATGATATGTTCCGGCTTGGCCTCAAATTTACGCGAAAGACTATTAAGTACTTTTCGCAGTTTTATAATTCCGACATCATATTCGCCAGTCCTTTGGGTATGCGTATGGCACTCGAAGGGAAAGATGACAAAAAGGGCGACTATGACTTCCTAAGCTCAATCGAAATTGTCATAGTAGACCAAGCTGATGCTTTACTCATGCAGAATTGGGAGCATGTGGAGTATATTTTTGAGCATCTCAACTTGCAACCCAAAGAAGCCCATGGCTGTGATTTTAGCCGGGTGCGAAGTTGGTATTTGGATAATCAAGCTCAGTATTTCAGACAAGTCATTGCACTGGCAGCTTTCAATACGCCAGAGCTAAATACTATGTTTCAAAGTCAATCCAAAAATTGGGCCGGCAAGGTCAAACTTGGTCACAGCTATTCAGGCGCCATTCAAGATCTAGGCTTGAAAGTCAAACAGACATTTTCACGATTGGAATCGGATAATTTTGCTGCGGATCCAGATTCTCGCTTTGAATATTTTAAGTCAGCTATCATTCCAACTCTGGTCCGTCGGTCGAAAGACACTGCTGGGACCATTATATTCTTACCTTCGTACCTAGACTTTGTCAGGGTAAGAAACCATTTCTCTACGTCCCCGGATTGTAGCACCTTATCGTTTGGAAGTATATCAGAGTATACTTCTGTTCGAGATGTCGCCAGAGCAAGATCACATTTTTTCAGTGGAAGACACAGCGTTCTGTTGTACACTGAGCGGGCACATCATTTTCGACGATACCAACTACGCGGAGTCAAAAGGGTGATCATGTATGGTTTGCCCAATAATCCCATTTTTTTTAAAGAGATGGCTGCTGGGTATCTAGGTAGGAGTGTCCAAGAAGGAAAGCTAGTTGCTGGTGAGGGTGGTGTTCGAGCTATATTCTCAAAATGGGATGTTCTTAAGTTGGAAAGAATCGTAGGCACTGAAAGAGTTCCTAGGATGATCAATGAGAAGGGCGACACCTTTGACTTCTTGTAGAAAAATTACAGGATAATATAGAAACCTTACATTCCGAAAAACGCCATCCATGCAGTTATATATCACACGTATCAATACATCATGGCATCCGCACTCTATACATTTCCACCCCACCTTCTTTCGGTGCTACCTGCATTATCCCTCTCTCCAATTTTCAAATGGCGAATCTTCTCTACCATCTCCTCCAGAGCCCCTTGACCACCTGGTCGGAATCTTGTGACTTTGTCTATATTCCGTGCTGTCATTTCCCCTAGGTCCTTGCCCTCGCCTCTCTCCGTCACTATAGTGCGCGCCGTCATTGCAAATCGGATATCTCTTGGTCCATCAACCAACTCCAAGATGGCAGATGGGGCCATGTCTGGTTTTAGGGGTTCAATGCGCAGCACACGGGTATAGCCTCCTGGACGAGATGCATAGCGTTCTCGGAGGGTTCCAAAAAGTTTCGGTAAAAGATCGTGTGGTGTCTATTGAGATGTTAGCCTTCTTCACAGAATTCATGAATGGTTATATGATCGAAAGGCGCCCATACATAAAGAATGCTCAAAGCTTTACGTCTACTGGCTTCTGTGTTCTTCTTCCCCAGTGTGATGACCTTTTCCGCGAGCCGCTGCGCTTCCTTCGCCTTCGGCCAGGTAGTAGATATAGACTCGTGTTCAATGAGAGAGGTTACGAGATTGCGGAGGAGAGCTTGTCGGTGGGCGGATGAGCGATTCAAATGGCGGTAGTTCATGTGCCCGCCAGCCATTTTGACTTATTTCTTTGGGTGTGGAACCTCTTCTATCCCATACACAATGTCAGAAGATTGGTCTGGAAATTGAGGTCAAGGTGGTAATCGCAGGCGCAGTGTTCGTGATGTTGATGTGGATGCGCTTAGATGAGGTTGTCCAGACGGGAGCTTTTCTCTGGGATGCAAGAAATCTTTCCGCGATTTTGGCGAGCACAAGCTTGACCTCACCACCACGACCACCACCACAAACTGCGTCTTCCCTGGTCAACAATTAATCATCAGCTCTGTCCAGTATTTCAACCATCAATTGGGTTTTCCGCTATCGTATTGTTGAATTGGGGTGGTTGGCAAGATACTATAGCGCGTGGGCGCATAGCAAGCACAACTCAACCGGTTACAATGGGCTTCACAACTGGCTTCGTGCGTCTTCTAACATGCATCCGCCATTGTGTTGCTAATCGTTTATAGACAGGAGGTGTCACTCTGACCCTCGGGGTTGCGTACCTCACGGTCTTAGCTCACGAACGAAATCGCGCATCCCAAGCTCATGCCCTGCGCAATCAATCTCGCGTTCTAACTAGTCTTCTTGAACCTACACCATTACCACCACCACAGACTCGTGCCGAGCTCGCGAGGGAAGAAAGAAGTACACTCGTAGAAGCTGCAAAGGACCGGTGGAATAATGAGGTCGAGAATGCTGTTAGATGGGTGCAGCGAACGGATTGGGAAGGCGTCCGGGTTGGGATGGAGGGTGCGGTCGCTAGACTTATTGGGAGCGGTTTAGAGAAAGGCAGAGAAGGAATTGAAAGTGCGGAGAAAGCTGCTGGACCAATAGCTAAGGAGGCTATGGAAAAGAGTAGGCAGGCTGCTGGTAACGGAGCAGATCAACTTGGGCTCGCGGCCAACAAAGCTCCAACTGAAGCGAAGAAACTGGGCCATGACTCCAGAGTTGAGGCAGGTAAAATTGCCACTTCTGCGAAAGAACAGGTCAATAGGGTTGGAGCAAAAAGTGCCGAGCTTAAAGACGCCACCAAAGAACATGCCAGTAAGATTGCGACTTCTGCTCAAGAGCAGGCTGCTTGGGCTGGAGAGAGAGCCGGCGAGTTAAGGGATGTTGCCAAATCTCAAGCTCGCGGTACAGCTGCCGATGCGGAGACCCAAGCTCAAGCAGCTGCTGATCTCGTACGGCGAAGTGGTGGCACTATCGACGCTGCTCGTGGTGCCGTTCGGGACGTCATATCGTCAGGCATTGAGAAAGGCAAGGAAGCGTTGGGTAAAGCTCAAGCTGCTATAGGATTTGTTGAGAACAAGGCGGTGTCTGGACAGACAGCCCCTGTTCCTTCAGCCGTTGAAAAAGCATTGCATGAGCGATATGAGAAGGCGAATGGATTAAATAAGAGTGTCGAGCAAGTATTGGAAGAGAGATATAAGCCTATAGACACAAGAGACAACACTGTCTTGAGAGGAGTGTAGGACTATGTGTACCAATTAATGATTCATTGTATCTATATAGGACAAGGATTAACTGCCTAGCTTTTTAACGTAGCTTCGTTTACTGATCTTTTTCATTTTGATCCGCTACTACTGTCTTGTCATAAGCCTAACGTATTATCACATTCATTCGCACACCATCACAGTCGAGATCCATATAATAGAAATTAAGGCATCCCTAGCAGTAAGTAACCAAATAGTAGCGTAAAATAAAAGTTGATGCGCAAGTACATTGGTATTCAATGACGAGTGGGTACTAGACCTCGCTAATCACTTCTTTTTGTTTTGATAAAAAGGACATTTGCGATATAGCAGGTAGCTAAAATCTTGATTGCCTGAGATTCCTCGAACACAAGTTTGTTGTAAGTAAGAGATGAAAACAAACAGAAACGCAGAAGGAGCCAGTTTCAAGGAAAGCCGGTTTAGTGCATATATTCAGAAACAACAACCGAAACATCCATCACATAGAAATAGTCTGTTCTGGTTTAACTCTTGCTTTCCTCCATTACATGCTCTCGTCCCAACCCTTTTCCTGAATAAAATATTTTATCACAAGGCCTATAGGTCCCACGAAAGCTATCTCAGAATCTCAGATAATGAACTCAGATTTTCAGTTGTATTACAAAGGCGATGCTGGTTTTTTTGAGCATCCTTTGAAGCGGAGGTATGACTGTTTACAATATTTCAACTCTTCAGCGTAGCACTCTAAAGTTGTTTCGACGTGCTGCCTTCCAGCTCACGAGCAAGGACGCTGATATCTCGTCTCGCTCTTTCGTTCCTCTCTAGCACCAACTTTATAGAGTCCCATTCGTCCACATGCATCACTTCCCCTTGTAGACTGAGGATGATGACAACAGTAGGTGAGTGAACGAGTTCACCAAGTATGGAGGCCGCAATTCCTTTCGCCAACAGGAAACTATCAAAATGATCGTCTTCACTTGTCATACGACGACAGGCCTGAGATCGAGGCGCAACAGTGGACAGTAGATTTGGTACTAGTATCTGCTCATTAAGCGGATATTAAAGGCGTTGTAAAGGTCGATCTGAGTGAGAAAGTGCTGGCGTTCTATTTCTGCATGAGTGTTTCGTCTCGGCCTCCACTGAATGGCCAGGAATTTTCGATGTTTGATTTTCGTGAAGTCGACTTTGTATAGAACGTGGCCTACCAGGAGCTAAACATGAGCGATCGATATACCCTTGTGTGTAGTATCAGGTATGGTGGGGAAAAACAATTCATCAGTAGCTGTGCTCGAACCTGGCGGCATCTTCCTTGCGTATGAGTGCTCTTTGAGCTGTACAATACTTGGCAATGATTGAGTTAATTGTGTTCGGTAGATAGGGCGCTGCTCGCTGAATGAAGTCGTGGCAGGATGTGAGCCACGGTCAATTTGTGAGATTCCCGGAGACTCTGGAAATTGACAGAATGATCCAGGAGGGGCATTAAGATACCCTTGGCTTCGTTGAGTCGAGCTGGGAATAGACAAGTTTGAATAAGTCCGCGACAGCGAGGGCTCTGCGGTCAACGGTGTCCGTCCGCGTTGAAAGTGCGAGGCATTGGTAGAACTATATGCAGAGTTGACGTCCCATCGATGTCGTTCTTGGGGCTGACTCATGTTTTGGTAGACCTCTTCGTTCCACTGGCACGGCCGGTTTTGCTGAAAGTTCACAGGAGTTGCCTTGATGCTTCCATGATGGTGATATGATGGTGGATTCATCTTCCCAGTATAGTTTTCGAGGTTCTGTAACTTAGGCGATTGTCTTTGAAGAGGCCAATTAGTTCCACGGAAAAGTTGAAAGATTGTATGAAGCAGCAGAACTTAGCGAGGGACGGTAATGGAAATCATGAAAGCCATAGATTTCGTTTCAAACCTGACGTTCTTTGATGCCAGTCTGTAGTAAATCCGCTTGAGATAGAGCTAAGGGATGTAACGGTCCTCGTATCTTCCATATATACACTACTGAATGAAGCAGCTCCCCTATCGACAAATATCTGGCAGTCGAAATATCGAGTTGAGTTGGCCAACCTGACAAGATAGCGTATGTCTTTTTTGTCGCTCTGTCAAAAATAGACTTTGAGTCGTTCTTTGACATCTGTAGATTTAGAATCCCAGAAGTGAATAGCCGTTCAAGGTACATTAAATGACAAGTGGGGTAGCATGATAATGTCCTAACAATTATTTTGTCATCGTAAAGTTCATACTCAGTAAAAAGTTCTCTACGCTTTGCCAGAAACATTAATTACTCGGCCGCTGATAATCTCCATGATGCCTTCTTTGATACCCGGGTATAATATATGGCCAGTGGACATGAATTCAGTCCTGAACTCCAAACGCTTTATTTGGTCAAAATGCAAGAACAGCATAACATTAATCCAAGCGGAACTTCGTGTCTTCCTCTTTGTGCCCGAGGACTTCATCAACGATCGGAGCGATTCCACGGTTCTTTGGATTGGAAGTCGTCCATGATTTTCTTGAGTTAGCTGTGGCCGCCTTGATGGCCACCGAAAGCCCACTAGACAAAAGTTAGCAATTAGTCACGGAATTAGCAATGGGTATACGTGAATAGAGGGATGTATCGGGCAATCCGCATTAAATTTGTAGAATTAAATGGGTCTCATGCTGAAAAGATAAATGGTGAGTGTGCCAATGAAAGAATGTGATACAACTTACGAGACGGAAGATTTGACTACATATCCTTGACGCTCCAGCTCAGCCGCTAATTCTTCTTGATGATTATCGAGAAGTGAAACATTAGGCACAACGACGAGTGGAAGGCCCAGACGCATCACATCCAGGATTGTTCCAGCTCCTATGTCATGTCAACACGATGTCGTCCACAGTAAAAGCCACTGACCAGCATGGCAAACAACAAGCCCTTCTTGAGAGACTCCGTTTCTTGATTGACATCTCTTCATCTCATTCTCTAGTCCGCGGGCTTTGAAATCGAAATTTGTGATTCTGAGTCCTTTGCTATCCCTCGGCTTGATTTTGCGAAAATACTCGTTCATAGTACCGCACTGAACCGTCAGATCTGTAAAACCTAGATCTGCTAATGTATTTAAGACATCTTCGGATACAGCAGCGATGAGTAATTCTTCAAACCCGGCTGTGGCACCGATTGTAACGAAGCACTCCTTGTGAAGTAATCCCGACTGATTTGAATCCATGATTCGATACTTCCTTTCGAGTGATTAGTGACGACTTTGGGCAAACATAAAATTTCCTAGTGAAAGACTAGTAGGCTTTGTTTGGGTATATGAGATTTCTAGCGAAAGGCTGACCGAAAGTCTTTGTATGAGAGCGATCACAACTCTTCTAATGAATCCTTGTAGTCAGGCTTGTTCAGCGGACTGAACTAGGTTGCAAATTGTTGGAAGTAAGCGTAACAAATCGATTTTTCAAATAATTTCCAAGACTGTAGGTGTAAAAAGAAGAGACGACATATATTTGTTTGATTAAGGTTCTGCCATTGTCCACGGGGACATCTGACGTTGAGGAGCCAAGGAGCAACATAAAGTGCGGATAATAAAACCGAGGTGTGCCCCAAGCGACTGGGGTTTGGCGCGTTTTGTCCGCGAGGCTCAAGGATAATTTTGTTGTTCAGAGGTGCACTAAATAACGACTTCTCCCAACCATCAGCATGGCAACAGCCTTGCAGGGCCTCCGACTGACGGCGAGAACGTGCTGTTGCACTCAGTCCTCACAAAAACATGTCGTCCGAACAATTGGTCGGCAGAGGGTCTTTTCCACAACTCCTATACCTTGGGTTTCGAAGGAGGAAAGGCAGAAGCGCCATGAAGAAAGACTTTCTAGAGCCAGCAAGATTACCGGTTTAGACGTTAGGGCCATGGATAGGGAAAATGAGGACATGAAGCGGGAGTTGCAGCAGCTTCTTGACGATGAGATAGATATCGGTCCATCGATGCCAATACCAGACTTACCAGTCTCGAGAAAGAAACTGAAGGAGACGTTTTTGAATTTGGGAGAGCAGGAAGCGTTTGAAGACGGAGGTTTCATGGAAGATGAGGAAGACGATATATCGACATTGGCACACGGCGAGCTAGAGCAGCACAGGGAATGGAGACATTATGCTAGATTGGAAGCTTGGGAAATGCCACTCTTATCAAGTATGTTGGATATTGTGCCGGTACAGCAACTATTAGGAGTCCGCAGACTAACCGTTCTGTGTAGAGTTGGCCAAACCATTCGAATTGCCAACTAAGCGAATGCCGCTTCGATTTAGATACACCACTTATATGGGCGAACAGCATCCAGCGGAGAAGAAAGTTGTTCTAGAATTCTCCCCAGCCGATATGCCTGACTTGACACCGGTACAAACTGACAAGCTGAGGAAGCTGCTGGGTCCCCGATATAACCCTGAAAAAGATACCGTCAGGATGAGTTGTGAGATGTATGAGACACAGGCACAGAACAAGCGCTATCTCGGTGATACCGTTGACGCTCTTTTGGCTGAAGCAAGGGTATGTTCAGGCTTGACATGTCCAACACTTATTTTACTGATAAAGCTAGGACCCCACAGACACCTTTGAGGACGTACCGCTTGACACTAGACATCACACTTTCAAGCCTAGACTTCGATTTCCAAAGGAATGGGCTATGACTGAGGAGCGACGGCAGGAACTTGTCGCCCAACGGCAAGCCCAAATCGAAAGGGATGCGCAGTTGCAAGAGCTCGGTCATCTAGTCAATGGTGAGCAGATAATTCAGAAAGTGTTGGCCAGCAGAGCAGCAATGGCTGCAGAGGAACCGGAGCCGGTACTCGTGGGCGGCAGAGGAGGGCGAGCTGCTGCGAAAGGTGCAGGCGGTAAGAAGATTTCCGTGAGGAGGTAAAAGCGTGTCTCTGTACAATATAATGACATGTGTAAGATATTGTAAACACAAATGTATGTGGGCTTTACAGTAGCAACCCATTACTGGTCTAGAAAGCGGCCCTTCTTGGCCTTCCTCGACTTGCTCGTTCTGACATTATCAGCGGCCGACATCACCTGCGTGTTGATAATTGCACTAATCTAATACTGTTATAAATCACATTTAGTGCCAGTGAAAAGAGCTGTTTCCTTCAACACTACTCAGCCTATTACTGCACTTGCGAAAAAGATGTCCCTTATAAGAACTATGATCCTGTTTACCTGTGAGTTTATATATCTCAATTGCCTTTATTATGCAAAAAAAAAAAAAACACATCTTGTGCTCTATCAAATGGAAAGGGAAAACTTAACCTCGGCACTTATGCTACAACCTACAACCTGGACCATCACAGCCCATCCGGTAATCCAGAAGCGGTAATCCATCCACAAGCAGTCCGATGTTTCCCCTCTTTCCTACCATGGAATCGGGGTATCCAATTACCAATTATTGCCTTTGCCTATTGTCTTTCAAATAATGTCTTCACATGGCGATTACGACGGTCAATCGGGTTCTAGTTGTGCCGACCGCTATGGACGGTTGTGGTGGGGTAACGCCGAATCCCTGGGCACGCCTGGGTTACAAGAGCTTCGCCATACCCCAGACTTGTGAAAGAACACAACAACGCGCCTTCGATTTGACATGCCCTAGAAGCTGCTTCTCCTTTCAATGAATTTCTGGGTGGAACGCTTACCCACAACAATAACAGCTGCATAACCTACAGTGTAAGTCTTCCCCCTTTCTGCATTCCTCCAGCTGTGACTTCCAATGGTTTCATGGCTCTACGTAAAGTCCTAGAGTGCGGTGACGGATCGATTGTTTGACGCAAGAATGCCTCTATCGATATTCTCCTCTGTTCCTGTACCATGTTGTCTGCTTTAAATCTAGATCAAATGAGTGCTATGAAAGTATTTCCCCTTTCGTTCCGTTTTGGTGCTGCTCCAAATGGAACTCTCTTTGCTAGCCAGCATATCTAATATTCTCAAAGAATAAACACCACCCTGATTGCAAAGCAGGCACAAAAGAAAGATGGCATGGGAAAGTCTTAGCTGACAGTCTTTTAGACACAATATTCATCATGTCGGTCAAAATCGCTCCTTTCGAATCCACACCTACCGAATCTATTCAATCCACAGTCAACCTATGCAGGACCACCTTCCGTTCGCAAAAGACGAAGCCTATTGAGTATAGATTGACCCAACTTCGAAAGCTGTTTTGGGGACTACAGGACAATAGCAAAGCTTTAGTCGAGGCTTGCAAAAGGGATTTGGGAAAGCCAAGTTTCGAAACGTACCTATCAGAGATTGACTGGTGTAAAAATGATATTATGTTCGTGACCAAAAATCTGGCCAAATGGATGAAAGACGAAAAGGCTCCGGATATCCCGCTTAGCAACTCGTTATTAAACCCGCACATCAGAAAAGAGCCTTTAGGAACTGTTCTGGTTATTGGAGCCTACAATTTCCCGATTCAACTCTCTATCGGTCCATTGATCGGCGCAATTGCAGCTGGTTGTACTGGTATACTGAAGCCGTCAGAACTGGCTCCAGCTACAGCTATGGTACTAAAGCAAGTCGTCGAAGAGTCACTCGATCCAAATGCATATGCTGTTGTCAATGGGGCTATTCCTGAAACGAATGCCTTGCTGAACGAGAAATGGGACAAAATTTTCTACACTGGTGGTGCTACGGTCGGTACGATCATAGCCAAAAAGGCAGCCGAGACTTTGACACCAGTATGTCTCGAGCTTGGAGGACGCAACCCAGCAATCGTTACGAAAAATGCAGACCCTCGCCTCGCAGCTCGAAGAATGCTGTGGGGTAAAGTACACAATGCTGGTCAAGTTTGTATAAGTCAAAACTATATTATGGTGGAGAAAGAGATATTACCAGCATTCATCGAGCAGCTAAAGATTGCAATGGCAGAGTTTTTCCCCAAAGGTCAGAAGCTTAGTCCGGACTTTGCGAGGATCGTCAACAACAGACATTTCCATCGCATTAAGAAGATGGTGGACGACTCGAAGGGAAAGATCTTGATTGGTGGGGAGATGGATGAGTCTGAGAATTTCATTGAAATTACTGTAGTCCAGGTGAACGACACCAAGGACTCTATGATTGTTGACGAATCTTTTGGACCATTGATCCCAATCTTAGCGGTTGACAGTGTCGAGGAAGCGATCAAGAACGCCAACGAGGTGCATTCTACACCACTTGGACTGTACGCATTTGGCTCCAAGGCTGAAACAAATAAAAGTAAGTTAAACAATGAGTACGCTTGGAGAGAGAACTTGATATGTTATAAACCGGGATACCCGTCTCAAGTCTTGGAAACAAGAAGCATTTCTAAATTCTCCAAATTTGGCTTGACAGCAACGACTAACACTTGATTTAAACAGTTCTCAATGAAGTTACCTCCGGCGGTGCATCCATCAACGACGCTTTCTTCCATGGTTCAATTCCAACACTAGCATTTGGCGGTGTTGGAGATTCTGGCCAAGGGGCCTATCGCGGTAAAGCCTCATTCGAGACATTCACTCACCGACGTTCAGTCACCACGACCCCTGGCTGGATGGAGAAGATGCTCGCAGTCCGCTACCCACCATACGGCGACGCCAAACTCAAGCAATTCCGAAAAATGAGCGAAAAGAAGCCAAATTTCGATCGCGAAGGTAGGGAAATCAAGGGAGTGGCTTACTGGCTATCTTTTTTAGGCGCGCTGGGTTCTGAAGGGCCGCAGGGTGCTCTGTTTAGGTGGGCGATTGTTGCTCTATTAGCGTTTGGGGCGAAGAGATATGTTGATACAGGTGTGCTACCAACTTTTGCAGACTTGCAATTTTGGAAAAGGTAGAGAAGTTGCAGCAGTGTAACAAGTGTGGAAATGCCAAATTGGGAGCGGGGTCGGGCTTCTGGGATGCGTTTCTGCCGGATCGTGAGTAAAAGGTATTAGGAGGATGTACGATGAAGGATGTAATAGCGGCTGGGTTGAGGCGTACTTCGATATCAACTTTTCCAATTTTCGTTTATCTCATGATGCGTGCCAGTCATCTGGAGACGCCGGGAGTAATCAATTCGTGGTTTACTGAAACATTCGTCCTCGACACATGTGTCTTAGGGGTAACGGGGCTGTGTTATTATGAGAAGTCCCCGACCAGGTAGGCAATGATGATGGACATGTCCATGCACTATTCATGATGGTTGAGACGGCTTTGGCAATTGTAAGTACGAAACCATTTCCGACAGTCAGATCTTTCGATTCTTCTCACTTCCCAGCACCCTCGCCATTATCTGGCTTATATATTCATGTCCAGTATTGAGAAATACTAGGGCTTTGTCGAATATATATCTTGATGAAGTATTGCAACATCCAAACAGACCTGAGTTTTCTCAATGACTGGTGGTGTAGCTTGTCATACCTTTAGATTCAATCCACTCTGGCTGGTCTCGATGCATCTGAGGTGGATCCCTTTTTTTATAAAAATGAACGAAAAATCATCGGAAATGTGCACACAAAATGCACAAAATAGGTGTACCAAAGACAGCAGTCAAATAGAACGCCAAAGTTGATTCCATTTGTCTATCATCCAGCGTAGATGAGGACACCTTCACTAGCAATACTTATTACTTCTTTGTTCCAAGACACATCGCTCGCCATGGAATGCGGAATTCAATATTCTCGGCAATAACGAGACTGCTCCCTTCCCTCCATCCTGAGTACTCTTCTAGGAAGTACCGATGGCGGAAGGGCTAAGCATTTGGCACATGGAATTTGGTCAGACAAGAGCATCATGTGGCCAAGCCTGTATCGACAATTGATAACACTGGATGGATTATACGGGGAGGAGCAAGAAGCGTTCGGGGTGGTACGAGTGTTTATGTGATGGTTGCCGACCACGTTGGCATCCGCGAATCCTAAATGGGATGGCTAAGCCTGCTGTCCGCATTGCTGGGAACACAGAGTGCGGATATACATCTCTGTTAAACTACACGGGATACAGAATTACAGACTTGAAATCAAACGCCTCATTTGTAGCAATCGCTGGTTTTCTTTTACTATTGGGGTTGCAAGGTTAGCAAGGGGAATATAACTACCTAGATACCTAGCTACAGCCGAGAAGATTGCCTAGGGCAGAGGAACACTGGGAGGATTAGTGAGGTCAGAGAAAAATAGGACAGAAAGTATTCCAGTGGTATCTGTATACCCCGTATCATACCATCCTAAATTTGTCACCTGCAACATGTTGATTGTCATTATAAGTTACATCATGTCATGTAAAGGCTCCCGTCGTGTTCCGTCTATTGCCCACTTCCCACTTCCCACTTCCCACATTAGTCGAAATGTGGTAACTGTAAATTTCAGACGTAACACTTGGTTTGCTGGCTCGGGAAGAAGACAATCGAAGGAGGCCCTCTGTCATCCTACTCGGGTACAGTAGTGGAAGCAATTCCCAAATGGCCATCAATCGCGAGTATTCCACGTGGAAAGCTCGTGACGAAGGCTCGACGAGCAATACGAATCCTGCAGGCGTGCGGCAGTGTAACTCAACTCTGACAGCTGTCTCGCGATACGGTTGATAGGCGTGGGAGGACACACGCTACGAGTCTACTGTATGTCTGGTATGGGTCGAGTAACTACACGTGGTTGAATGATTCGGACTGTACGCAGGAAAAGCATAGGTCGGACGAAGTGCTGTCGAGAGTCAAGACACCTCCCGGCCAACCGTACTCGAGGAGTAGGTAAACAGCGAGGCCTGGGGCGGACAGAATTTTCTTCACTTGAAACATCATCGGCCGGCGGCTGGGCAGTGGGCAGAGCAGACTCCACATGAAAAGGCCAGAACTGCAAGTCCGTAGCGTCCACGGCGGCGGCATCAGGAACCCTTCGACTGTGATTTGCGGGGAGAATTAGCTGACAGCACAAGTGTGCAAACATCTGTGCCAACATCCCAGCGGCGAATGATCAACGATGCAGCTGCTCATCACATGACGTCCACACG